AATAGAGGACACGACAGTGCTCGCGAACGCGTCCGGAGCATGGTGTCTCCCGCGAGGGACGACACCGAGAAAGGCAGCATTTGCCCCAGCATTAGAGGAAGCTCCCAGCTCACCTCGGTCCATGCCTTTGGCTCCAACAAGGATCCATTCTTGCGGACAGAGCTTCTGCCACGCTCTCTTGGTCGTCATACCAACGGCGCGTAGGTGTCCTTCATCGACACCGTGTACCGTGACGGTACACAGCCGTGGTGCAGGTGTCTCCCATCGACACCATGTACCGTCCGGTATTAACCTTTGGTGCGGTACGCCCACCACAAGGTTGCCATGTTTGGCGGCAACAGCTTCTGTTGTGCTGTCGCCTGAACGGATTCCTGGTCAGTGCTCGCATCATGCACGACGCATGTGCAAGCACAGTGTACAGGTCCATAGGTCCGTACACGATGTACGCTGCGTACGACACGTATCACAGCTACCATAAGTGCTCCGTGTACTTCATGCGTGTCATGCACGATGAGTTCATTACGTGGAACTACCGGCAGGCTGCTCGACAGCAGCCAGTGCCGATGCACGGTACGTGCGATGACTTACAGCGTTTACGCCAGAGCGCATCAGGTCGTGGTATGGTGCATATCCTTTGCACCCATACCAGTGTCTATTACAGACACCATGTACCTTGATGGTACTCGACCGTGGTGGGGATATCTCACCACCATGCCACTGCGGCGTTGGTGTCTGGTATTGACCCCGAGTACTCACGGGTACCAAGCCATGGTGAGGCAAGATGCCATCACCACGGTGTCATGCTCGGTGCGGCACCAGTTACGATTGCGTGCGTTGCCTCGACCACCACCTGGTCAGTTGTGTGTGCACTCGTGCATCACACTTGGGTTATGGCTCCACGGCCCATTAAACCCGGCGCGTTGCGTACATCACGTACCGCAACCGCTTTGTCGGCGGGTGAGACGTTCCGGTCACCCTACTCGACAGGTCGTTTATGACCAAGGGACCTGTGCCGTGACTGCACCAGGTCCGCGCTTCGCTTAGTGTGTGGTTGCATGCAGCCACAATACTGCTGACTCACTCAGCTTCCGAGGCACCTAGCGTCAGTGGCTTCCGTCGCCACTCTGGCTAGTTTGGCTAGCGCTGCCGCAGCTCTTACCCGGCTGTTCGCCTCCAGCCTGCAGTCGATGTACATCAACTCCTGGTTCCGTAAGGAACCTGGTCTTACCTCAAGACCAGGTAGGAAAGGTATTTCCGAGCCTCTCTTCCACTACACTTGAGACTATTGAGTCTCTCGCGGCTTGTGATGGCCACTGGCAGCACGACGGCTACCTGCCTCGTGGAAAGTCAGGGAGGAAAGGTATTTCCGAGCCTCTTTCCCACTTAACTTCGAGACTACTGAGTCTCTCGTGGCTTGTGATGGCCACTGGCAGCACGACGGCTACCTGCCTCGTGGAAAGTCAGGGAGGAAAGGTATTTTCGAGCCTCTCTCCCACTTAACCTCGAGACTACTGAGTCTCTCGTGGCTTGTGATAGCCACTGGCAGGTACGACGGCTCTCCGCTCCGTGCACTGCGTCGGCCGTGCCGACCGAAGGCATCCAATCTTCGCGTCAGCAGTTTGAGTCTACGCGATTTGACGTCGAGCGAGTCGCTCACGGCTGGCGAGGCCAAGACAGCCTCGCGCCTCGAGCTAATGGCTCTGTGTGCGGAACTATGTTATTCGCCTTAATTGTGAAACTAGAGTACCCACCTTGGATGTGTGGAGCTCTGTTACCCATACCGGAAGCGCATACAGCGACTTCCTCATCAGTAATGGTCTGAGTGACCTTGCGTGGAACTCTGTTACACACGCTCGGAGCACCGAATGTCGGGCTCCTTAAGCAGCTTCGCCGCTTGCGGAACTTGTAACCCGCAATGTGTACCTGTGTTACCCACCTGGTGAATGCCCTTCGGCACCACCACTGTCGAAGCGCATACAGCGCGACGACCTTCGGTTTTGGGATCAGCTGGTGTGTCAGACCCGCACACACACCGGACAGAGTTGATGTCCACCGACCGAGTCAGATGATTCCGGGCCCTGGACTCCGAGTCGCTTGAAGCGACGTCGGCCTGAACAGGGTTCAGACCCGACTTGCGGCGGTTAACGTGACGTGGTACACGTCGTGATGTCTCGTTGACGACATCAGAGGCACTCTAGACCTCGTGTGGCACTTTGTTACCCACACAGGAAGCATGGACAATGCCTTTCTCTTCAGTTATAGTCTGGGCGACTGCGTGTGGTACTGTGTTACCCACACAGGAAGCATGATGAGTGCCTTCCTCTTCCTTTATAGTTTGGACGACTGCGTGTGGTGCTATCCACACAGGAAGCGCATTCAGCGCCTTCCTCTTCAGTTAAGGTCTGGGCGACCGTGTGGTCCTAAGTTACCCACCTGGTTAGCGCTTAAAGTCATAACCATTGTCGAAGCCCGTACGGCGCGATGACCTTCGGCGTTGGACGCCGCTGGTGTAGCAGGTCCACACGCCGGGTAAAGACTCATGCCCGTGGCATTGCCGCAGCGGAGCATGGTCTTGCTGTACGCAGAGCTGTCGGCGCGTTGACAGCACCGTGCCATTTCTGCGTCCTGGTGGTCTGTATCAGACGCCCCAGTCATGACGGAGGTGGGAACATGATTCACCAATGCTCCGCCATAGACCTGGACTGATAGGCCCTTCTCAGCCTTGCCACTCTAAAGTCCAGGCTGTGCCTTATGTTCGGCACAGCCATGATGTTCATGGCGAGAACTGCGAGCGACACCGCGGTGCGCAAGCTCATCGAACCCAAACGTTCAGGTCCGTTGAGGACCATTGGTACTTATTTCACCGTACCAAAGGCTAGTTCACCAAGGACCAGCTCATCGAACGTTCAGTGAGTACCGTTCCCTCGTACACCGAGTGTACTACCACTGCCATTCACCGGTTTGAGAGAGCCACTTCTCTCTGGGCTAAGTCCCGTGGTGTGCACAACCTGCACACCCATCCCGAGGACTTAGCGCTCTTCAGTAAGGCTTTCCGCCTCTACTGGCTGCCGGGGAGTCTTCGGCCTCCTGGACGTGGCCTGCGCCACCGGACCTGGGGTACACGGGCTGTCTTCTTCCCGAGGGCTGGCGAGGGACACACACGCTGGTAGTGTCCATGTCCGCTGCATTCGTAGCAGCGGACCAAGCTCTCGGCTGAGCTTCAGTCTATGGGCTCGGGCTCGCTGTACGCGTCGGTCAACGGGCTGCGTGACAGCAGGAGCAACAGCGTCATTGCTGCGATGCTCCGCCTCCCGAGGAATTCCATTCTCATCGTGGCGATGTTCCTCTTCCCGAGGAGTACCAGCCTGCTTGTGACTCTACTCTTTTGGAGGGCGATTCGAATCGCCTCCTCCATAGTTGTCGCTTGCACCCGGAATAGTTGGGTGCGAGCAGAACCGACCTTCAGGCCGTCCATGAAGACTGTTGTCTTGACGTCTTCAGGCAGAGGATTCCCTGCCAGAGATGCCACAAACGCGCGCATCTCTTGCACGTACTCCTGCAGCTCACGTTTACCTGGCTTACACGCGAGAAAGCGTGAGAGCTGGCGGAACTCGTTGCTCGCCGGTAGGAACGCGACTCAAAGCTGCTCACACAGCTGAGCCCAGGATGTGAAGCATCCAGGAGATGTCGTCTCCCTGATGTATGCCCAGTGCTTAGCACGTCCATGAAGGCTGGACAGGGCAAACGCCACCGAACTGACTCGTCCGAGATGAGAGCCGCCTTCATGGCGATCTCCACCTCACGGACACAGAAGTGAAGGATCTCTCCTTCCTTCCCCTCAAACGCGGGGACCTTCAGCCATACCGGCTTAGGCCTGGTTGCCTGGGGAGCGGCCATCGAGGCCTCCAAGCTCCCGCGGACGTAAGCGATGAGGCCGCGCTCGTAGGTCTTAAACGTGGTAACGCATTCTTGTTGCTCGACAGGCGTCGCCGCCGCTAAGCTACGAAAGACATATTGTCCAAAGATGCCTCCCATCTTCCGAACAGACTCGTACTTTGAGTCGCTCAAGCGAGCAAACTCGCTTCGGTCCATCATGGCTCAAACGTTGAGCGCACAGAGGATGTAGGTAGTTCAATCTACCCGCGATGGTGTTGGATTGACTACGAGGGCTACCAAGTGTGACAGAGTCACACAGCACCTTGCACAGAGGAAGTGCTTAAGGGTAATAGCTACCCGAGTGAACGTTAGTCCACGTGCTCCCGGCCTCAAAGGGAACGGTTTACTACTTAGAGGAGTAGATGTAAGACTGATGTATTTATAAGTAAGGTTAGCTTGGGCTCCATACAAACTAGAGATTACCTATAGTGGAGCTAAGTAGTCATGCCCTGATTGGCTCCGAGAGCACCTGGTACCGTGTACCAGGTGTCCACAAGAGTGACGGGTCACTCTTTATGTAACATGGGGCAAGTACCCCGTTACACCATGCTTGGTTTGCTAAATATTCACCGAGTCGGTAGTCCAGATTTTTCGCAAGCTGGCTACTAAATCGAGCAAATGCTGATTGAGATGCATATTAATAGCTATATCACTACTACCGGTACTACAGTAGTAGAATAGTGATTCTGTGAATCAACATTTGCCAATGTTGACGTTCTCTCGGCTAATTTTCCTGCGATTGCATACAAAGTCCTAGATACCGAAGTACGTTTCTACGACAATCTCCTTTTCACCCCGAGTTTTAAATGTGCACATCGCCTTGATCAATCCCACATGCCTCCAGCAAGAAGGGCAACTCCATGGCATTGCGTGCCTGGTCTACCAGACTGTGGAATCACCAGTGATTCACCACCTTGAAGAGCTCTTCAAAAAAGTATGGGTATCTACGCATCTTCGTTCGTTTGTACTTTTGTAGTTGTAAAATAAGCGTTGGACAGCAGCCTCACTTCCCATTCGCTGCGTTCGACACACAGCCATTCGCCGAACAAACCGAGGCAGTAGGGATGCTGGGAGGCGCTGGACACACTGCAGTGAGTGAGCTGGACGTGCCGGACGTGCCAGACCCCGACACTCACCTCAGCGTGGTTGAGATTTCGGAAGCAAAGACGTCTTCCTCAACTGCTGAGTTGGAGGATCAGACATTTGTAGGACACGCGAACACCAGCACAAATTCACCGATCGAAAAGACTCCCGAAGCCAAAACACCTTCGACGAATGCTGCGCCGACCAAAGTTCTGTTCCTCGACGGAATTCGGGGCCTAGCTGCCATTTTGGTAGTCATGCAGCACTCACACGAGTTTCCCACGAACAGACTTCACCTGGGCTCAGTAGCTGTGGACGCTTTTTTCGTGTTATCGTCGTTCTTGCTAACGTGGCTGTTCATGAAGAAGAGCATGAAATTATTAGCACAGCAAGCGGGAGCTCGCTCGTGGACAATCGCGTTGCTAGACTATTTCCAGAAACGCTTCTTCCGCGTGTATCCGCTGTTTGCAGTGACAGCGATCGTGCTTTCTTGCTTGTCATTTGAAAACCAGCACCGCTACTTTCGCTTGAAGAAACCCGAAGACTACGAGCTGGGCAAGGTGCTAATGTTCTACACAGGATACCGTCCTCACGTGTTTTGGACGCTGCCGCTGGAAATTGGGTACTATTTTGTGATTCCAGCTTTTGTGATGGTTGCGCTGGGTTTGCGTCGATACTGGTGGCTTGTCGCTGTTCCTTTGTCCGTATGGGTCGTGCACGAAGGGTGCTACACGTACCGAACTAGTCACATGGCCCTCGCTCCTCATCTTCACACGTTCATGGCAGGCTCTTTGGGTGCTGTAGTTTTCGTGAGGTCGGATTTGTGGATCAAAAAGACGGGGTTTAACTTTCGCTGGTATCACACACTTGTCCTCCGAATAATGGAAGGCTTGGCTATTGCGCTGATGCTGAGCGTGTCCTTTCAAGGATTATTCTTTGACTGGGTCCACAAAGACCCAGTGCCAGCTTCCCAGGGGTTTGGCTTTGTCAGCGTGCAGATGACAACAGTTTTTGTGATTGAGATGATCCGTCCGTCTTGTATTTCAACGATGTTTGAGTGGAGCGTGTTGCGCTACTGGGGGAAAATCAGTTTCTCAGTCTACTTGCTGCACTCTTTTGTTATCGACTATCCTCCGGTGAGTCACCAAAAGAAGTATTTCAACCGATTATTCGCCCGATTCGCTCTGATTTTGCTGCTAGCGACAACAAGCTACCACCTCATCGAATACCCGTCGCAGTTGCTGGCTCAAAGAATCTCACGTTTCCTAAATGGTAGAGACGGAAAGGGATCAGGAGATGGCTTGATAAGGTTTACGTGCATGGAACGTATCACTAAGAGAAAGCAAAAAGTTCCGGTAGAGGAGAAGTAATTGTATTTGTACAGCCGTGATATGTCGACTAATATGGCGGACAACTTAGGCATTCGCTAACTTGTAAAACAAGTGTAGTGTGTTTTGAAACCCCTTGTTTTTTTTAAGATAGTGTAGTAGCAGTTTCAATTCTTACCTGGATTTGTTTCACACTTCTAGCCAGTAATGACTCTTACACCGAGGGCAGCTACCTGATGAATGTGCTTGGTGCCAGGCTGCCGGATGAACATCATGTTGGGTTTAACCTGTAATTGGTCCGACAGCCAGTGGACGAGCGCAGTATCAAAACTTGAGCCGCAAACGTGCACAAAGTCGATCTTAATTTTCGGATACGTGAGGTCGAACACGCGAGTCATTTCACGCATATCCTCCACATTCTCTCGTTCAAGCTGCCGTCGTTGCACATCAGCTTCGGTCACTTCAGCACTGTCATCTTCGTCTAGATTAGCGTCTTCACTCACGTGTACGACGTGTAAATTGTGCGTCTGCTCGTTCTTCCGAACGTAGAGAATCGCCTTGTTAAGCAGCGGCAGGTCTGGCGTCTTGAGGAAAAACACAATCGGGGGAAGGTGGATCTCTTGCAGCACGGCAGTAATCGTGCGTCCACCTTTAGCTCCAGTCCGAGATCCGCTCTTTTCTTTGCCTTGAGACTTGGCTACCTCAATATCTTCAACTGCGCCGTCGCGAGCACTGCTAGACGGGAAGAGTTGTTGCATAATGTACAGCAAGATACGCAGAATGAAGACGCGCTCCAGCATGACGAACATCGTCGAGGCGAAAACGACGAAGTAGAGAGCGAAGTACGTGAAGATCGCTGGATCTCCCAGAAGATTTCCCAGAAGTCCAAGTAGAACCATAGCCAGTCCAAAGATACAGCTCCACCACGGAGCGTGGACGTCACGTGGAATATCTTCACGCTTCAACTTGAGCAGCATACAGCCAAAGGCGAAGAGTGCCATGACTCCGAGGAACGCGAATGTGAATACGCCAGCCAAAACTGTGGCATCAGCATGTAGTAAGATCACTAGACTGGCTTGTAGCGCGAAGAAGAGCAGGATAATGTAGTGGTTCGTGCCTCTCCACTTGTTGGTGCGTGTTAGAAAAGCCGGAAGCACGCGATCGAATGCCAACCGACGCACAAGACCCGTGATGCCTACATAGGACGTCAGAACGCCTCCAGCCAGCACCACAAAGGCGTCAATGGATACCCAACTCTCCAGCCACTTGCCAGCTGCCATACGTCCCATCATTGCCAGCACCACATCCTTGTCACTGTAGATCCCCCCAGGTCCTTCCAACGGTAGCACAGCGAGTGTTAAAAAGGATAGTAACAAGTTGTAGAAAGTGGCGAATATCCACATATTCCGCAGAGTTTTTCTGAAAACCCCGGGTGCTTGTTCCTCAACAAATTGCGCTGAGGTCTCAAACCCCGTGATCCCCAGCATGGCGGACGAATATCCATAGAAAATCCCCGTTAACACATTCCCCTTGATCACATCTCCAGCCACATTGACATCGGGAAAATCCGTCCTCATATTCTGCCAGAAAATATCTGGATTGTGCACTGCGTAGTAGAGTGAGAATCCGCTCAAGAGCGTCAATGTGAACACATGAGCGATAAAAATTATCAACGCTACGGTTGCACTCTCGGCGATGCCAATGATGGAAAGCATTGCAAACACAAAGAGCAGCGCCACTGTGCCGGGCACGACACTCACGTCCACTTGGGTGTCGAGATATCGCAATGCAGAGGTGCCGGAGACCACCCCTGTGGCTAAGTACGAGATGATGCCAAGCGTGGCGGCCACAGCTGCTGTTCTCTTGGATGTCGTATTGAGTAAGACATTATAAGAGCCTCCATTCAAGGGGATGGCGGTCACTGCTTCCTCGTAAATGGAGCGGAAGAGGTAGAGCACAAAGGCCACGAAGGTTTGGGCCAAAGGAGTGAGTTTGCCGGCTTTTGCGGCCACAATACCCGATGAATAGAGCACACTGGCCAGGATATCGTTGCCACAGATAGCAGTGGACGGCCATTCGCCTAGATGCTCCTTCGGGATCTCCAGGAGATCGCGGGTGGCTTGGATCGAGTGTGGGGGTACTTTGAGTCGATGAGTCTCGCCTTCTGGAGGGTACATCCACTTGGGGAGGGAATGACGACCACGCAGTTTGAAATCGCGGATGCGAGAAGATCGACGAGGTGGTGAGGACTCATCCGAGAGAGTAGAGGCGTCTGGGGCTGGAGAGGACAGCAACGTCACCTTCAGGTCGTCCATGGTGAAGAAGATATTAGAAGATCTGATTATGAAGAGGCGGAGGATGTAAGATGGGGGTATTAATTTATGTTAAGCGAATCGGCCGATTGAACCGCTCCGGAATTTCGATCCCTACCTATCTTATAGTGTATTCCCAATAATGGTGTGTATCTGACCAGATTCCCAGAGAGAAACAGTGCAATGGAGGCGAACTCAAGACCAAGCAGGGGGGACGTCGAGGTGGTGAGCCCAAGCCCGAGGACTGGAGACATGGAGACGACTAGTGTTAGCGAGCGAGAGGCAACAACACCAGCCATTTCGACAGCTCTGAGATCACAGCGAAGCTCGACGCCTCATACGCGCGTCTCTCCGTATCCTGAGCGGGTACGAACTCCAGTTCGACGGTCGCCAAGCGCAGCGCACTCAGAAGAACGTCGGCAGCTAACGCTGGTGGTCCAGCCAATTATCAAGGCTACAATTGGCCAGCGAGATGCATCTGGCGTCACGCTAGATGAAATGACCGTGTGTGGAGCCACGTTTAACGACATTATCACTTCTCTATTCGTACAGCTTCGTAGTCACATCAAAGGACGGGCAGTTAAGACGAATAACGAATGGTCACTGTTAGACTACTTTCCAGGAAGAATGACACAAACTCATGCAGTTCAGATTCAAAAGGCACATTATCGAAAGCACCAAGACAGAAGACGCTTGGGCACAGTGGGTGAAAAGTACACGTCGCCACACTGTGCAACTTCTTGTGTACGAATTTGGCCTCGCAATAACAAAGGCTCAAGACCTCCAAGAATTTAAAGAGGCATGCATTCAACCTCCGGAAACCGATCGAGCTGGTGCAGCTGCGGAGAGCACTTTGCACGATGTGGTTGTCCAACTGCAGCAACACTGGGGGAGCACATTACAAGGATCGGCGATTGTTTGGCGCATGTGGGCGAACTCTATCACGCGTAACTTAAATCGATCGACATGGACTGATGCAATTTCAGATCCACCTCCGGAGTACGTAGCGAATTTACTGAACGCAGCGGACTCGCGTCTTGAGCTACACATCTCAAACCTCAATCGATCATCTCGACTCGCACTGGACTGTGTTGCCGCAGCTATTGCAGATAATGAGCAAATCCGTCGTGATGTTGACGCATTAGTAAAACGGGTTGAAGCACTAAAGAATCGACTAGCTGACAGAAAGGCAATCATCGAGGCATTTATTGACGAATTACTGCCTCCCCCACGAGGACGCGTAAAATGTCCACAGTACTATGAGGTCAATCCACAGAGATAGTATTAATCCACAGATCTGTGAGCCCAGTAAATAACACACTATACTAATCCATAGCTGAATTGACAAATCCACTAGAAGATCAATCAATCCACCAAATGTCAGGTAATCAAACAAACTAAATTTTAGCCAACCAGTGACCGATTACAAACCTCCGGAGATTGGCCGACACGCATCCAATCAAAATCTGCGGTAGGAAACGTCGAGACCAGCCACCAACAACGCCACCTGACTCCCCCTGCTCTCTACGCGCAGCACTCGTAAGCCCATAGTGAGTAGCTAGACGAAATCCTCTACCTACCGTACGGACGCTAAAACTACCTAATTATTGTATTTTGTTTGCTTGATTGCTAACAATGTATCTGACACAGCCGCGTTAACAAATGGGAAAGCCACTCCCGTGGGCTATGCTGTATCGGCAGGTGTCGGAGGTGGAAAGCGAGCGTATTGTGGAAAACATGAAGCACGCGAAGAAACACAAAGTCACTGTCAGCAACACATCGATATGTGCCGTGTGTACGGATCCATCACCTCACACAATGCGATACCGGGTCTTCTCGTGTTCTTCAGCTACGTGTGCGGATGCGTGTGTCGCACCTTTAAGGTGTCGTTGGAAATGCAAGACGCTTGTATGCTGCAAAAGCGGCATAGTGAATATTTACGAGTTTGGTTTACACGAAGTGAAAGGAAATGATCCTCCAACTGGCGGCCTGACGTTGGAACAAAAGAGAACGGCGCGCCAACTAGCTGTTAACGGTCTGAAACCTGCTCGAATTCGAAACGCGCTGGCTGTTGGTGCCTCTGCGGAAAAAATTCCGCATCTCAGCAAGGTGCAAAGTTTTGTTACGTATTGCCGCAAGACTGAATTGAACAATACGGACGACTTGGATATTCTGGAGGAAGTTATCAGAGCAAAAGCCTACACTGGGCTAGAAGAAGAAAGCTCTGCATTTTCGTTTTCGAGCAACATGAATTGTAATGGAGACATCAATATTGGTGAAGGAACCGACACTAGCACATTTTTTGTCGGCTTCACTACGAAGACACTCCTAAAACGACTCGACCGTGATCCGCACAGTTTCATTTTGCATTTTGATGCGACCTACAAGTTGAACCAAGTGGATTATCCTACCTTTGTCTGTGGAATTTCTGACCATTCTCGTTCCTTTCACTTGGTTGCTTTGGTCGTCGTGTCACAACAAGAAGAGCGTCACTACGCGAGTGCGCTTGCATCCCTCCGAGCTATCTACGCTCGATTTTTGCGGAAGCCGATGGTAGTGCACTACATTCTTGGAGACGCCGACGGAGCTCAGTACAATGCGATGGCATCAGTGTTCGAGGATTGTGAAACAGAGATTTTGATGTGCTTTTACCACGTTATCGCAAAAGTTCATGAGCGGACGAGGTATCTACTACCCGGTAAGCGTAGCCTGGTCTTGGCCGATATATTTTATATGCATTACGCAAGAAACGCCTCGGAATTTCATGCTAAAAAGACGTCTGCAGTGCGGCGGTGGCTTGCCGACCCAGATGTCGAGCGATTTGGAGAGTATTTTCTGCAGCAGTGGCTGACGGGAAAGTTTGTGAAATGGCAGTGCTTCCGTACGCCTGTTGGTTGGGCAACTACAAATAATCCCGTGGAAACGTTCAATGCCAAGCTGAAGAAAACCTACACTTTACGAGAGCGAATGCTAATGGGGTCTTTGCTTGGTCAACTTCAAGTTTGTTGTCGAATGGAGAGCGTGTCGGGTGCTGCATTCCATGAAACATCTACCGCTAGCAGCAGGCTTCGACGGCGCGCGACAGCTTTGCGCCGACAGCAACTGCTCGTTGAGACTCCATCCTTCGACGACTCCAGCAATTTTGTACTTGTCGTTTCTAAAGCTACACCTCGAATCTACGTGAAGCCGAAGAGGAAGTCGATGGAAGTTGTGGATGTGGCTGTGCAACTTGGTGCTAATGCGGCTAGAATGGAAAGAGATGAACAGCCGGAAGAAGGATGGTCAGTGGATCTAACTACTCGCACTTGCCCGTGTAAATACTTTTTCCACAAAGGCCAGTGTGTACATCTTCTCTTCGCCTTTAATACAAGGTTTGGTACTGACCAACCTGGCAAGAGGAAGTTGTTCAACCGCAGCCGGCGCAACAAAAGAAAAACCTTAGAAGATCAGATCGCAGAAGCAGCCGAAGCAGACCAGTCCAAACGTGGACGTCCGATCCTTAACGGTCCAGCTTTATCGTTGTTGTAGACACACGAAATGAATGTTTGCTTGAATATACCATCACTTCATCGCCTTATTGCCTTCTTCTTGCTATGTTTCTTGTTATACGTATAGTGTCTTTGCGAGTTGAACACACGGACAGCCGATAAGGCTGATGATGACCTCGCGTGGGATTTAATTCCCATTAAAATGTAGTAAGCATATATCGTGCTCTTAAGCCGGTTAGTCTTGCACAAGGACGCAGTGAAGTCTGTTGGATCTACCCTCGCGTCTCCTCATGTCGATTTTCCGCCGTTCAGCTGTTGGTTTGATAGCCACAAAGATATCGTTGATGTCTCCGATCTTCACTGTGGTCTTGCTGCTGACGTCCACTTTGTGCCAGTATTACCATATTGTTTTCCTGCGAATGCAGTCTATAAGATTCAGTTGCTACATGAAACGAATACGTACGTTAAGCCTCTAGAGATATTATTTTTAAAGTCTGGCATTACAAATCCCTTACTCTGACAATACGGATCGCTTACTCTGACAATACGGATCGCTGACTCTAACAATACGGATCGCTTACTCTGACAATACGGATCGCTTTTTATTTAGCTTAAAATAAACAGAAAAACAAATTAAATTGTGTATTCAGTTATTCACTGTCCTGTGCACTCTCCGCCTCACTCTCCCACTCGCTCTCCTCCGCGCTTTCTGCTTCTCCCACCTCCTCACCCTCCTCTTCCTCGACTTCTTCTTCGCTTGCGTCCTCACTTTCGTCGTCGCTCTCAGCGTCGACCGCATCATCATTATCTACGTAGAAATCATCTTTGCTCTCCTCCTCAATGTTATCACTGTGCTCGACCTCGTCATCCACGCCGTCTTCGTGGTACACGTACGCTAGCTCTTCAGTGTAGCTGGACTTCCCCGGTTTCTTCGGATGGCGGCGGTGGTTATGCTGGTACAGCGCGTTTCGCTTCTTGAATTTCCTGTTGCACTTGTGGCAAATCCCCCCACGCGCATCAGCTTCTAGGCGCGCTTTCTTGGACTTGACCTTGTTTGGGTTGTCAGCACAGTAACGGCGGTGGTTGGAGAGATGACGACGCGATGTGCACTGTTGGACGCAATGCTCGCACATGTAGCTTCTGAACACAGCAGCTTCAGTTGCGTCGGCCTTTTGTGGAATTCCACGTACACGTACGTAACAATGCAGCCTCAAATTTTCCTCTTTAAATTCAGCCCCTGCATGGACCAAGTCTCCGCGGAACAGCAGGAATGCGCCCGCGTCGAGTGACAACAGTTTGCATTTGTCCATTTCTGCATAGACTCCAAAACAGCCAGGATAGACGTAGAACTGTGTGTCTGATTGAAGAGCAATAATGACAGACGCCTGAACAATACCCTTTTCCAGTTTCGCTTTGCTTGTCTCGAATGAAGGAAAATCTAGGTGGATGCCTTGGCGAAGGCCCCCCGGAAGTGATTTCAATGCGTTCCAAATAGACTTTTTGGTGTACCAATTTTTATCAGATCCTTCCACAATACCCTTCACTCGCTTGTATATTTTGTTTGTAGCCGGACCAAATGTAGCAATAGGAGCTTGAAGACGGAAATGGTCACGTTCTACTTCATACACTTCACCAAAAATAGGTCTGAAGTCCAGTTGCTCGATTTCCTGTTTAGCTTTCTCCAAAGTGTGAGGCGGTAGTCTTAAGTTTCCGACAAGGTAGCCTTCATTCCAGAATTGCGCCTTTAGACTGGCATCCATAATGACTGACACCTCGCCACACTTACTGGCCAGGCACACACGTGAAGGAGCACACAGGTCGTGTCAAGTCGTAAATGTGGTTGAGGTACTCGCCAGCAGAGCGGACCAACGGCTGTAGCTTCACGCGTCTAACACAACGCACGTCTGAAAGCAGCAGCCTCTTCACGACGAACAGCAAGTAGGTGCCGATTGCGAGGCTTCTTGGGGGCAATACTGACTCGTTAACAGAGTCTTCAAGGCTTCAGACGACGGAACAGACACCTCGGTGGCGTTTGGGCTGCAAGTGCGGCTTCTGGTGGCGGCTCAGACTCTTCTGGCAGTGGTGGCGGAGCTCGTGCTTGGGGGAAGGCACTGCGTCGTGATTGTTGTGAGCGGGTGAATTTGGACGGGGTTGCGGGCTGCTCAAGCGACGAATTGGGGCTTCTTTGGTAGTTCTTGAGTGATAAAACACTGGTTACCAAGCAGTACTTGGTAGTACCCTCGGAGGCTTAATTACCAATGGTACTTAAGCCTCCGAGGGCGCCATCGTTTTACAGGCGATGACGTCAATATAACACTGCACTGGTACAGTACAATGTCGTCGATTGTTGTGGACTGTGGATCTGTCGGTGTGGATTATCCTTAAAAAAACTGTGGATTTTTCATATTTCCTCCCTCCCCCACCTAGTGATGTCGTCGATCCTGTTCCACTGATTGAAAACATTGCTGACATCGATCATGAAGAGTAGATAGTAAATTGTAGGATACTCAGTAGCCTAACTACTGGTGCGTTACAAATCCTAGCTCATCTTCACGGCAGTCGGCTTGTTCTTCACCGTCCCAAATGGCTGGTACCTGTCGTTTCTCCTAAGAGAGTGGCCCGACTGGATTAAAAATGCCTTGTTTCATCCAACCACAGTGCGCAAACAGGCGTGTCATGTCGAACGATTCAAAGCGCTGGAACGTCTTCACAGCGAGCGGAGTCAGGTCCCGGCCACTAGTGCCGCATAAAAGCCTTCTTCACGAACCCAAAGAGAAATTCAATGGGATTAAAAAATGGGCAATACGCCGGCAAAAAATAGGGACCACGCCGACACTTCGCAGGTAGTTTTATAATCTCTGGATGGCGATGGATTGATGCTCCATCGAGAATCCACACCGAGTTAGATCCCGGGTATTGATTTACGCGCCCACGTGCTGAGTACACGAAATCTTTGCAACAACTCACGAAGCTCAACCTGTCGAACGTTCCTTGCGTATCGTAGTAGTCGGGTAAACCGTAGCTCCAATTAACGCTAGCACTGAAATCCTTGGCTTCCTCTGAAAGTCTCCACGTACGGCAACCTTTTCTCCCCTCATTGAGTATCCTCTTTTTCGTATCATTCCGCGGTTATCAAAGGATACTTCGTCTAGGAAGACAAGGTTTTGATGACTCCAATTACAGTACTTAGCTCCTCAACGAATCTTAATACATCGCTTTCTTTAATATGCATCGCGCGTCTTTCAAGGACCTTCCAAGTAAGTCCGAAGATGTGACGGGGTCACACAGCACCTTGCGCTAGAGGAAGTTATCTTCCGAGAGTATACAAACTCTCAGTGAACGGCAGTTCACAGGTCCCCTCTTTAATTAAAGAGGGCGAAGTGACCTAAATAAGGTAGATTGTAAACTGAGTATATTTATAGGTAGGTTAAGTTTGAGGTTAATACAAACTATCAGTTACCTATAGAAATGCAATGTCATTTAACCAATGGTTGGTTTTGAATGACCTTGGTACCTTGTACCAAATATCCCGGAGTATGACATGTCATACTCCTGAAGTGTGAAGTGTCACACTTCATGTAACCAGGGTACACTTAGTGCTACGTACCCCGTTACATCCTCCCCCACTTAGGTTCGGTTTACCGACCAATCAGAATGAAGAGATGTTCGTCACAAACTCTCATTCTCAAAGTCGAAAACCATCGACTCGGCCGCGCGAGCGCGGCGGAGGCTCACTTCACAGTTAGAGCCTCGAGCAGCAACCTGTGCGCTCTTCGTCAAGGTCTCCACTTCGACCGTCAACATGCCTCGCGGCACTGCTAAGAGCGGTGCTAAGACACGCTCCAAGGCTGCAGCCGGTAAGGCGCAGGCCAAGAGCACTAAGCCTCACGGCAAAGGCTCTGCACTCAAGGAGGCTACTCAGGTGGCCTCCGAGGCGATCGGTTCCTCGGGTGTCGCGGCTGCGGACAAGCGCGCAAGCAGGCGACGCAGTCCGTCGCCCTCGTCCTCAGACAATCGTCCGAACCCTCGGTTCGTAGAACGTGAGTTCAACTCGGGCAGTGAGGACGATGCCGAGTCCGAGAGCACTCATGATGCTCCTGCGGGCTCTGTGGGAGGGCACAGCCCAGTGCCCAGTGAGCACAAAGAAGACAGCGTGCAGTCGTCCGCTAGTGATCACGGTGATCACAGTCCCAGGACCTCTGTGCGCTCTGAGAGTCCGGCCGTTAAGGCTAAGGGCACTCCCAAAGCCGGTGGCGATGAGGAAGGGAGTCCTCGCAAACGTCTCTCGCTTGCCGAGGGTCTTGCGCGCGCTAAGGCCTCTAAAGCCGAATGCGCCAAGCCCTCAAAGAAGCGTACCGCCTCTAAGTCTCCACTCCGCGAGGAGAAGGAGACTCGACGCTCCTATCAGAGTCTCTTCGGCTCCTCGGATGAAGAGGAGGAGAAGGAGGAAGAAGAGGAAGAGGAGGGTGCCATTGTTGAGCCCCGGGAGGTCTCGAATGACCTCGACCAGCAGCAGGAGGATTTCCAAGCTGCCCAGCGTGTGCGTGGGGGTTCGGTGGCGGCACCCGTCAGCCAGGGAGCTGCCATCAACTCAAGAGGGTATTGGCCTCCCGAGGAGAGCTCTGGGGCTGACCTCTTCTTAGAGCTTCTCGTCGCTCCTCGTGGCCTTGTGGGCGGCCACACTTCTAGGGGCATCTATGAACGAGCCCTTGTTCAGAAAGAACAGTTGTTCGTCGACAACGTGGAGGCTGCTCGGTGTGTGCTTCTCGCGCCACACCGCATTCCCCTTAAGGACTTCACGACTTGTCGTAAGAAGCCCGAGACCCGGGGTGGTCTCTATCCTGTTTGGGGATACCCCTGGGTTATGCCCGAGAACTGTCCCACATGGAGTTCTTGTGAGGACATGTTCTGGGCGTGGGTGGAGACTCTCAAGTACTCGCCCACGAAGTTATGGGAACTCCATGAAGATCAGCAGCTGTCCCACATCCTGGACCAGCGTGATCTTCGTGTGAGGTTTGCCCACTTGATCAGCAAGCGTATGCTGCCAAGGGACATCCTGAAGCGCGCGGCTTCTAGCGCTCACGATGAGCGCGGGTACGGTATGTATTCATCATCCGTACCCCGTTCGGGCAAGAAGCCCCGGACTACTTATGAAGCTGCCGCCGCTTCTGTTCCCAGATTGCGACAGCCTTCGGGCAGTCAATCAGGAGCCGTTCAATCGGCTCCCACGAGTTCTCGGAGTGGGCATAACCCCTCCACTTCACGAGGAGCTGTCGCTTCCCGCGACACCGTTGCTCCTGGAGGATCCGCTCCACGTGGAAGTGGACTTCTCCATTCCGGTCAAGCAGGGGCGGAGGTGCCCTTGTACGAGTACGAGTACTCGGCGCCTCCCGAGAGCCACTCTCGTTCGAGTGCTCCGACTGCGGGTCCGACACGGGACCCTGAGGTTGACCGCCTCCGTCAACGTCTCCTCGTGCTTGAGATTGCACTTGGCCTTGGGACTGGCGGTAATGCTGCCGCCCAGGCCGGGAATCAGGGCGAGCTCGCTCGTCTGGACCTGGTGGAGCGAGAGGTCGCGAGCCTGCACCTGCGGGTGGACCGCCGGGCCTCTTCGTCCGATCTGGACGAGGCCTTTCGCATGATCCGACGGATCGAGGCTTTGTTGCCACGTCCGGAGCCGCCTGCGGCACACTCCCAGACGTACGCGTATGGTGCGTACCCGGCGTACTCAGCGTACTCGGCGTATGGCGCCGGGGTCCGTTCGTATGGAGCCCCTCCGGCGTACGGTCTTGACCGCAGCCTTGCCGTCCCGACCGAGGCTTGGGTGCCTGCTCCGACGCCCTCGTCGACGACTGTGACCGGCCCTCGCTTCGAGGAGCTGGGTCAAGGGGGGTCTGCGAGTCAGCAACCCCCTGCGGGTCAAAGTACCGCTTAAGACGTCCGACATAGAACGTCGGGTGCGTCGTCATTGACTTTGGAAGGTCGATGGTGTACGACGCACCATGTCTGGTCAGGACTGCAAAAGGTCCGATGAAGCGGTGCTTCAGCTTGTTGCTGCCGACAGAGCTAACAGTGTCTAGAGGTAGGTTCCTCGTGTCTAGTAACACTAAGTCACCAATCTCAAATATACTTAAGTTTCCTCTTCCTTGTTTGTCCGAGTACTCCTTTTGTTTATCTTGGGCCGCTGCCATGGCATCGCGGACCCTGCTGACAATGTTCAGCTTGGTATCCATAAAGGATTCCACCTGTTTCCGCAGCGAAACTGGCCTCACATCCGAGACCTGGGAGGAAAGGGCTTTCCGAGCCTCTCCCCCACTTAGAATAGAGGTGTCAGTGTTTCCTCGAAGAGTGAGAGGCACTCTGGGGTGGCGGAAGCCGTTCAAGTAGAACGGCGTGAACCCCGTGGACGCGTGCACCGCGTTGTTGAGCGCAAACTCAACAACTGGAAGCTGCGTCGACCACGTACGTGGCGCTGCCGCGCACACACTGCGCAGAGTGTCCTCGAGCACTCGATTGACGCGCTCTGTTTGGCCGTCTGTCTGCGGATGATCCGCAGTGGACATCTGCAGACGAGTTCCCAGTAAAGGGAACAGCGTTTTCCAAAACGCAGCAGTGAACCGCGGGTCTCGGTCCGAGACAATCGTCTCCGGGAGACCGTGATAGCGGAACACGCCATCGACGAACAACCTTGCGGTTTGTTCGCCCGTCACAGTGACGGGAACTGGAGCAAGATGTACCATCTTGCTCAGCCGACACACGAACACCAAAATTCCGGTGTTGCCGTGTCCGTCGGCGGGAAGCCCAAAGATGAAGTCAAGACTCATCGACTTCCAACAATCAGCCGGTACGGGCAGGCTCTGTAGTGGAGCCGAAGAGTGCCCTGCGGGTTTAACCCGCTGACATGTTTCACATGTCTTGACGTACCGGGCGACCCACTTGTACATGTGGGTCCACCAGAAGGACTGAGAGACCGACAGAAAGGTCTTCTCGCGGCCCAAGTGGCCGCTGGAGGGCGCGTCATGCGCCTCCGCGAGGATGTCGAACTTCAGATCCTCGTCGTTGGGTACGACCACCCGTGGAGGATCAGTGGGCTCCACCCGATAATAGAGGAGGCCCTCCTTCAACTCATATCGGTGGAGCCGTGAGCGCTGTCGCGACGAGAGCCAGTCGGACTTCGCGCTCGTTCCGGCCTTAAGGAACTTGACGATAGGCGCGACAGCCTCATCGTCCCGATACGCCATGCGTATCCGATCATATAGATCCGTTGTCACCCGCGTGATGTGGGCCAACTCATAGTCGGGACGCCTAGAGAGGGCGTCCGCAAGCACGTTGAGCTTGCCCGGCTTGTACTCGACGCGGAAGTTATATTCCGCGAAGAAGGACAGCCACCTCGCCATCCGTTGGGAGAGGTGAGGCGAGTTAGTCGCCGTCCTCAAGGACGCGTGGTCTGTGTAGATCACAAAGGGTGTAGAGCCCAGAAGGTGAACACGGAACTTCACAAGGGCATATTTCATTGCCAGGAGCTCCTTGTCGTGGACAGGGTAGTTCCGCTCGGCGGCGTTGAGCTGCCTGGACTGGAACGAGATGACTCGTTCCTGACCTGCCGTGTCGGCCTGCAGCAATGCACACCCGATTGCGTAATCGGAGGCATCGCAGACGACGCTAAACGGCTTCGTCTCGTCCGGCAGAGCCAGGACAGGGGCCTCTTGGAGACTGGCCTTGATGCTGTCAAAAGCATCCTGGTGCTCTTGCTCCCAGCGCCAGTCGACGTCCTTCTGAAGGAGGCTCGACAAAGGCTTAGCGAAGCCCGCGTACCCAGCGCTGTACTTGTGAAGGTAGTTGGCCAAACCCAACCACTTTCGAAGATCCTTCTGGGATCGGGGCGTCGGCCATGCTGCTATGGCCTTGACCTTGTCTGGGTCAGCCCGAACGCCCACGTTGCTTACGAAGCAACCGAGAACTTTGATCTCTGGTGACGTGAAAACGCACTTGTCGATGTTGGCGTAGAGCTTGTTCGCTCGCATTACGTCCAACACTCGACGGAGGTGTCCTAGATGCACCTCCATGGCCGTCTTGCCTCCCTCGGCACGGCTATGGACGAAAATGTCGTCGAAGTACGTCTGTACGAAGGTACGCAAAGGGCGGAACAATTGCGTCACCAGGCGATTGAACGTCGCCGGGGCGTTAGACAAGCCCTGCGGCATGACGAGCCACTCCCAAAGCATGCCGCTTGGAGTGCTTACCGCGGTGAGCGGGATGTCACTCTCTCGCATCAGGATTTGGTAGTATCCGTCTACCAAATCCAGCGCACTGTACAGTACGCTCCCGGCCATGTTGTTCAACAACACATCCTTTCGTGGGATCGGTGTTTGGGCCGGCACCGTTGCGTTGTTCAGCTTGTTATAAGCGTGAACCAGACGCCACTTTCCGTTCGGCTTACGAACGCAGAAAGTCGGCGTCGAGTGCGGGGATTTCGACTCCCGCACCATGCCTGCCTTCGCTTTCGCGGCGAAGAAGGCATCAATGACCTCGCACTGTTCGCGCGGGAGAGGCCATTGCCTCGTGACACAATACTTTGTGCCGGGCACGAGATCAATCTCGTGCCGTACGCCTCGATCCGGTGGGAGCTGGGTCGGTGGGTGTTTATTCACCACGTCCGCATACTCCGTCACCAAAGGATACACCGGATCCTTGGGGTTCTTGAGAATCTCAGAACCCAAGCGCGCCTGACGCTGCTTGTTCATGTCTTCCAGGACGTTCTCGTCCAAGACAGAGGAGGAGTTCAGCTCCTCCTGAGTGGTCTCAGGTCTTATGAGTACCATCTCAGCGATCTCTCAGGCCTTGAGGTTGGCCAGGAAAGACTCAGCCGTCATTTCCTCGAGGTTCAGTATCTCTGCAACCTCTGGCAACGGTTCCAAGTGGACACCAGATGCCTTGACGGGTAAACCCGTCTCGCTATCGAAGATGTGATAACACTCTTCCACCGGCCTTGTCGGAGGAGCCCGGGCCCTGGACTCCGAGTCGCTTAAAGCGACGTCGATCGGAACGAAGTTCGGATCCGACTTGAGGCGGCGGCGGCGTCTTTGCCGACGGCTTCTGTGACGGGGAGCTTTGCTGCCCACGTCTAGGGATGTCGTCGCTACGACATCCGAGGCACTCGTGGCCTCGTGTGGTACTGTTGTACCCACACAGGAAGCGTGTTCAACGCCTTCCTCTTCAGTTAAGGTCTGGGCGACCGCGTGTGGCACTGTGTTACCCACACAGGAAGCGTGTTCAACGCCTTCCTCTTCAGTTAAGGTCTGGGCGACCGCGTGTGGCACTGTGTTACTCACACAGGAAGCGTATCCGACGTCTTCCTCTTCAGTTATGGTCTGGGCGACCGTGAGTGGAACTCTGTTACCCACTCTGAACACGCTGTTCTCAGTGTTCATGACAGCTGCAGCTGTCTGCGGAACTAAGTTACCCGCCTGTGGACCTAAGTTACCCACTTGGCCGGCGCCTCTTCTGGGCGCGGCCACCATCAAAACATCCTCGGAGTCGTCATATACGTCGACGACTCCCAAGCATCTGCCGGATTCTTTGGTACCCTGGCAGCCCTTGCGGGCGCCCCGGGTCCTGACAGAGGTGGGAACATGACTCACCAATGCTCTGTCGGACTGCGCAGGGCGGCTGGCACCGATTGCCTTGCCTCCCCAGTCGATCCAGGGCTCGTGCTTCTCAAGCCAGGGCATGCCCAGGATCATATCATATGGATCCATATCGAGAACAGTGAACTGTTCGAGGCTGTCAAAGTCTTCAAACTTGACAGCCAGATCCACTTGGACGTTGGGGACAGTGACGACCTTCCCGTCGGCCAGTCGCACTGACACCGTCCCGTTGCCCTTGCTTTCTCGCAAAGCTTCGGACAACTTGTTGCTGTTACGAGCAACCGTCTGGCGGCGTGCGAAATTCTTCGACGCCCCAGAGTCAATCAAGATTCTAAAGGGGTGATCGTACCCCCGTACACATCCGTGTACTACGAGCAACCCGCCGCTGCTCTTCGCCGATTCGAGAGTGCGAAGACTCTCAGGGGCTAAGTCCCCGTGGTACGCGCCACCCGCGCACCCATCACGAAGACTTAGTTCTTCCCCAGTAGGGCGCCCCGCCCCTACTGGTTCCCTGCGTTCCCCTGTCCCCGGGATCCTGGCTTCTGCCAGCGACCCTTGAGGACGGGCTTGGGGAAGGACCGTCTGCGGAGTCTTTCCGCGGGACAGTCGCGCTTGAAGTGGACCATCTTCCCACAGCCGAAGCAGCGGATGTCACGCTGTTCGGCGGACCCGAGTTCCATGGGAACTGGTCCGTTGGGGCTTGTTCGACCGGGAGCCGACAAGGAACTCCCAGGCCACGCTGAGGCCGGCGTACGCGCCTGGCGATGGCTGTATTCTTCTTGAAGAGCCACTTGAATCGCCTCTTCAAGGGTGTTTGCCTGCACCCGGAACAGCTGAGTGCGTGCGGGGCCCACTCGAAGGCCGTCCATGAACACAGTCATCTTGATGTGTTCATTGAGTGGGTTTCCCACTAGGGACGCCGTGAGCTCCCGTATCTCTTGCACATACTCGTGCAGTTCGCGTCTTCCTTGTTTACACGCGAGGAAGCGCGAACGCTGGCGGTACTCGTAGTTCGCCGGGAGGAACGCGGCTCGGAGCTGTTCGCACAGCTGAGTCCAGGATGTGAAACATCCAGGGGATGTCGCTTCCCGAGTGTACACCCAACTCTTAGCACGACCGCTAAGGTTGGAGAGTGCAAAAGCAACACGCAGTTGCTCGGTCGAGATCAGAGCCGCGTCCATCGCGAGCTCTACTTCTCGGACCCAGAAGTGAAGGTTCTCGCCTTCCTTCCCTTCATACGGCTTTACCTTCAGCCGTATTGGCTTCGGGTGAGGCGGGTTTGCTCCCGCCGCCGGAGCCTGCAGGCTCTCCCGCACATGCGCGATGAGGCCCTGCTCGTACGCGTCGAATGCATTGACGCGCTCGAGCTGCTCAGCCGGTGTTGATACCACCAGGCTCTGCAGGGCCTCCATCCCGAAGATGCCTGCCATCTTCCGAACCGACTCGAACTGAGAGTCGTTCATATGGGAGAAGTCGTTCCTATCCATGGCAACGAACTTCGGAGGTTCAGGTAGTCTACCCGCGATGGCGTGGATTGACTACAAGTGCTACCAAGTGTGACGGGGTCACACAGCACCTTGCGCTAGAGGAAGTTATCTTCCGAGAGTATACAAACTCTCAGTGAACGGCAGTACACAGGTCCCCTCTTTAATTAAAGAGGGCGAAGTGACCTAAATAAGGTAGATTGTAAACTGAGTATATTTATAGGTAGGTTAAGTTTGAGGTTAATACAAACTATCAGTTACCTATAGAAATGCAGTGTCACAAAACCAATGGTTGGTTTTGAATGACCTTGGTACCTTGTACCAAATATCCCGGAGTATGACATGTCATACTCCTGAAGTGTGAAGTGTCACACTTCATGTAACCAGGGTACACTTAGTGCTACGTACCCCGTTACAGAAGATGTGGATAATGCGCCAAACGGATGACTTTGAAATCGGAATGTGGTGAGCTTCAGTGATAGCAGCTTGTGCTTCGTCCAAGTAGGCAAGCGGTTTTTTCTGATAATAGTTGCTGAGCCATTCTCTATGCGCTGATGTAAACTTTCTGTCCACTTCTGTGCTCGCCCGCTGAAATGTTCCTGTGTCCTCGCAGACCTGTTTCCAGTTACCGATGGTTCTTACGTCCTTGTTGTAGACATGAGCGAGCTGCTGGCGAGTGTAGCCAAGATTGTAGAACGCGTACAAGCAGTGGAACACTGTGTTTGGGTTAGTATGTTGCTTAGTGGCGGCCAGCTTTTTTTTTACGCTTATTGTGCGCTGTTGGCGAGCGAGCACATCTTTCCTGATTTTAGCCAGTAGTATGCTACCGAGCGGTTGCGGAGCCGTTTATAGATTTGATCGAAACGGAAATTTCTTGTAGAATTGACAATATCAATATTCCATACTACTTTCACAATCAGTATTAGCAAATGGCAGATGACTACTATTTCTAAAATAGTAGTCATATTAAAAAATTCTGATTACTTAGCCTACAGCAATTAATACTACTCAGTACCTGTATTATTAATACACTGCTACCGAGTTACTGATTCAGGGATCGAATTAGACCAGCTACATGCACTTACAATGTAAGTCTGCTCTGCGCTGATACATGTAAGTTAACCCAGCCGCGACTTTGCTTGTACGTGTACTGTACACCACAGTGCTACGCTTTTTGCCATCATCTGAATCAGATTCTGATGATCCATCGCCTGAGGAAATTTCAAGTTGAAAAAACTAAAGTGGAACTAAAATCCAACTCCAAATTTCGCTCGCGTGCATTGTAGTGTGCGCAACCTTACAGCCTGACGTATTGTAGGCGAGATGGCTACATATATGCCTTGAGCACATTCGCGTGTTACTTCGAGACGACTTAAACGAGGCGAAGAGACGTTGAGCTCACTAAGTCGTCTCGAAGTAACGCGAATGTACTCAAGGCGAGCCATTTGCTGGCTCTTTTCTCGGAATGCAGACCAATTTTTCACTAGCTCTTTGTAAGGAAGGTCGCGCTTTTTCTGCGTGTGTCATTCCAGTCAGGCCAACGGTTCTCTATGCCGAAGCCACCAAAAACCCAGTACGCCTGTCCTGCAATAAATCTCCCACCAGCCACTTCCCATTATTCCGCCAAGTGTGTACCAGGTGTTTCCTCTTGAAAACGTAACTGAAGGCAGCGATGGCGGACGCAGCGAGTGCGGCCGCGAGCGTGACTGAGTCGGCGGCCACCGAGGACTTGACGCCGTCCACGACCATTTTGGACGGAATGCGCGTGTATTTTGTGATCGGCGCCATCGGCTGGCTGGCCTTCGAACTGGGTCGTGTCAAGTTGCAACGCGCTTATTACTGTCGCGAAGGCAAGCCGGAGACGACCAATCGGATAGTAACAAGATGCCACGATACCAAAGTGTTTGGCTGGCTGAAGCTGCTCTTCTTCACTCGAGACGACGATATTCTGGACCAATGTGGCATGGACACTCTCTTCTTCTTGCGATTCCTTCGTCTCTGCGAGAAGGTGACAGCCGTGGGGATTCTATGCTCTGTTGCCAACTTCCCCATCTACTACTACGCCAAGCGCGACTCGCTGGACGCGCTGTATCGCATGACGCTGTCGCATTTAGACACAGACCAGATGTGGCGCTTCTGGTTCACTGTCATCACCATGTACTTGGTCTCCATCACCACGTGCTTCCTCCTGTGGAAGGAGTACGAGGAATATATCCGTCGTCGTCACGAGTTCATGTCTAGGAAGCACTCGCAGCAATACACGGTGGTTCTGAACGGGCTGCCTCCGAACCTCTGCACGCAACAAACGCTGCGGAATTATCTGGAACTGCTCTTCCCTAAATCAGTTCTACACGTGTATGTTGCACTGGAATGTCGCGATCTCGAGAAACTCGTGGCTGAACGTGTCAAAGTGCGCAACAATCTGGAACACGTGCTGGCGCAATGCGCCAAGACTGGCGAGCGCGTGTTGACCAGTAACAAGATGCTAGGAGGCGAGAAAGTGGACGCTGTGGAGCTGTACCAAGACCAACTGAAAGACCTCAACAAGGCGGTGGAGAAGGAAGTTCGCTCGATTGTACGCAACCAAGCAGCAGTGGCGCGCCAATTGGTGGAATCGAGCAACGACGGTGAAAATTTAGGATTTAACCAGAATTTTGAATCTGCCAGAAGCATCAACTTCGCTATCAAGGAAGAAGAACTGGACGGCGACGCAGTGGAATCGAGATACATCAAGAGTCTGAAGAGGCAGGATAAGAAGGCCATGGGTATCATGCGTCCTGCAGGATTCGTGACCTTCCGAAGTCTGAAAGTAGCGCAGTCCTGTACTCAGATCCTGCAAAGTGCCGATCCGACTCAGATGCACGTGGAGCCTGCAGCTCACGCTGACGATGTGGTGTGGCCGAACATTGGACTGTCCAAGAACACCAAAGACACTTGGTTCATGATCTCGATGGCTCTAAGTACAGCGATTATCCTGCTGTGGACGGTGCCGACGGGTATTGTGGTGTCTTTTGCGAAGGTCTCGACGCTTGAGAAAGAATGGTCCTGGCTGGAGACTGCAATTGACAACTATCCGTGGATCAAGTCGGTGTTGGAGCAGCTTTCTCCACTGATGCTGTCCGTTATGACGGCTCTAGCTCCGATTATCTTTGGCATCTTGTCCCGACGTGAAGGTCACGCGTTTGCGTCACAAGTGGATGCCTCACTACTCAACAAACTGGTCATCTACCAGATCTACGTGACCTTCTTACTACCGATTATCGGTGGTACCGTTATCGACGCTGTCATCGGATCAAGCGACACGAACTTGACGGATGCCAGTGCAATTCTCACCCTTATCAGTGACTCCGTTGCTGTGCAGTCCTCCTTCTTCATCACTTATCTACTGGTCAAGACGGGACTTAATTTGACTCTAGTTCTACTGCGTGTGACACCCATTGTCAAGGCTGCTATCTACGAAGTCTTCGCTCCAAAGTTGACCCCTCGCGAACGTTCGACAGCTTGGTTTGGCCTCAACTCGCTGGCAAACCCTGGGGATTTCGGAGCATCCGACCAAGTTTCCGAGTACTTTTTGGTGTTGATGCTCGTTTTGGTGTTCTGTGCCATTGCACCCATTCTCAACTACTTCGCACTGGTGTACCTGGTGCTATCGGACTTGGTCTACCGGTGGGCTGTCATGTGTGTGCATGATCCGTCGACGCAGACGTCGGGCACGTTCTTCCCGTCGCTGTATCGCTTCATCGTTGGTGCACTCATGTTCTCCCAGATCATTATGGCGTCGGTACTGGCCACCAAGCAAGTGGCACTTCCAGCAACGTTCTCGATCATTTTGCCGTTCCTAACGCTGGCCTTCCACCTGTTCGTGTCGTCGCGTTATCCGAAGATCGCGCTGAACTTGCCGTTGGACCAAGCGGTGATGGTCGACTCACGTCGCTCACGCCAAATGGACGACCTGGAGCGTGTGCTTGAGGACATGTACATGCAGCCAGCGATGCTGGAGCGTGGCCCACTGGAACCGGACTACCAAGGACTGACTAGCGACCCGAACTCCGAGAACCAGCTCGCGTCGCCTCCGCCTGTCGAGGTAAGTGCCTCAGATAGGGACATGTTTGCCATTTAGTCCAACTCTGACGTGACTGGTGTTGTATTCGTACAGAAGGACTCGTTCCGGTCTCATGACAAGCAGGTCTTTTCACCGGTATAGATAAGTTCTTCTGTTTTCTTCTTGAGTCGCGGCACCACGGTGCACGACTGTAGTAATACACACATTTCGATGGCTGAACTCTTTTCTTACGTCTTTAATTGTTTGATTGTGCAGAATAGTGCTCAAGGCAGTAACTACGAGCGCATGGACAGCAACAAACAACACCGATACGATACGGACGAAGGAGGCCTCGTTTGATAAAACGTCAGCTCTGACTGACCCGCATGCAGTTTCCAACGCTTAAGCACTGACCACTTGCGAATAAATCTTATGTAATACCGACTCGAATTGTTATTAAAAAGCTTAATATATCGATCCCATGGAGCTTACCAACTTGTGCAGCTGAGCTCTTGTATCAAATGGATATTCATCTACCGTATGATCCTTGGCAGATTTTTCGTCAAAGCGGCATTTCACGATTCGCTTGAAATGAATCCCGAACAACAAGGTTCAGACCGTGATGGGCACATAGACAACGAGTATTTTGCTATGCGAAAGTGGCACTGAGGGGGATGGGCAATAGCTCATATCAGTGTTGACTTGAGGTGAAGCAAAAGTTAGCAGCTAAAAGTTGGCTGGCATCACCCAGAATCTAGCCGGCTCTGGTGTGTCTCTTTACAAACATACTAGTAGTAGTAGTGCACTGCTGCTGCTCTTGTAAATGTTGTGTGTAGCGTTTTGCTGCCCAATGAATCAAGACAGGCAGCTGGAAGGGGTCGCACGTGAGCTGAACCAAACGAACGTCTCTAGTAAAAAAAAAACCGGTCTGACTATTTTTCCAACCGTTTTCAGAGAAAAGCATCTAAATAGCTATCACGGGCCAATAATATCGCGTGACTATAAAAATAGAACCATTATAGAGAGTTTAAAGTCGAATAAGACTACATGTAGCACTTTCCAACTCGAGCTGTGCTGTCTGCACCCTCACCATTTGTGCTCTTATCGACCATCTGCACGAGCTCTATCTTTACGTCAGGGCCGTATTGTACACGACAGCCTATCTTGCGGCTTCAGCTGGGATCTCCATCCGGAGGCAGAGGATCTTCCAGTTGTCGCCCGTCACTACCGACTTGGCGTCTTGCTTCGGTCTCCACTGCGAGACTCAGTGGCCTCATGGATTCCCCACTGGCAGTCTCGCAGATCTCGCTGTCGCAGTCCAACATCTCCAGCTACAGTCAGGGCAGTCGCAGCAATGGCAGCAGGATGTTCGACGTGGAATCTTCCTCCTCGACATCGGCGTCCAAGGACTTTTTGTATCAGCGACAACTAACACCCAACGCAGTTCCACTGCTAGTACGATTACAACGCCATCGGATACTATGGACAACACTACTAGGCGTCGCGGTGATCGTGGTGATAATGTATTTCCTTCAGGAAGGGATCGTACTCAAGTCAATCCCAGTGTCGAGCAGCGGGACGGAGGATATTGACGCGTATAATTTCTACGTTGGCTTAATCACGTCGCTGGTGGTTAAACCTTTAATGGGATTAGTCTCTGCAATAGTACCGGCAGTTTTACTGTGCTTCTTGACGCAAGTGGCGATGCAGGAGACGAGCTCACGATGGTCTCGATTGGGTCTGGCCTTACTGGGAAATGTGGTGCTTTACTGCTTACTTAACGGGTTTATGGCGGTCTACGTGAGTGAGAAAACTGTACGAATGGATGCAGTTATCGGAGATAGCGACTTGGCGGAATACGAGAGCACACCGATCGTTATGTCGGACAGAGCATCTAGCGCTGATACAATTATTCGCAGTGCCATGCTAATGGCCGATGCAACAGCGGAAAATGCAGCAGGGCAGTGCAGTCGACCGTCGCCAAGAAGACTTCCAGCTCAGCTGAACTACGGCTACCCATCTCGTCAATGGCTAAGCGAAATGCTCCCGTATGCTCCAGAAACGACAGATGCCAACACGTTAATTGTGTCACTGAATGATGACGTCAAATCGACTGATATAGTGACAATGCCGATGGAACCGACGGCTGCCCGGAACCTCGTCGGCTATGCTCTGCGCGCTACGGACGATTTTTATCGTGAGCAAGACGTACAAGCGAACGCTAGTGCGTTTGAGCTGTTAGATTTACCTGAGAATTTCGACTCGGCGTCATCTGAAGACGCAAGAATGACGCACGCCCTCGTGAAAGCTACAAACGCCACTTTGAATCGTGCAGTGAAAACACGTTCTCATTTGAGAAACTTCAGTATTGCTGAGAGCAGCTTGGAATTCGTGAAGTTCCCATGGACAACAGACAGCGGAGAGCTGGTATTCGAGGGAGTAACGTTTGAGATTCCTATGGACAAAGGATATTTGCGTCGAGAAGTGAAGCTTCTTAACGACACGACTCAGTCTGTCGTGTATGGCTCTCAGGCACTTGATGGGTCATTTGAAATCAACGCAAAGGAGGAGTGTGGACGGTATGGATGTGTTGTTAGCCCCGTCGGAGCAGCGTTGACCACCGCCCCAGCTGACGAAGGCAGCCAAGTCCGTGCTTTACCTCTGTGTCTTGATGCTGATGGGAACGAAGACTTTAAAAGTACGATGAACGTTGATGGAAGCGACTGTGGACGCCGGTCTACCAATTCTATGCTGGTTTTGAGCTTTGCGAAGCGAATCGTCGGCCAAGCTATTAGCTCTTCGTTTGTGAATGACACAAACAGCGATGCGCTAGTTGTGATGCTCACGAACGCGAGAAAAATTTACCAAGTTACAGCCGGTCGACTGTCGTGGGAAACTGCAGACCTGGCTTCCAAGTATGGTGCGTCGTGTGAGGCAAGTGACTGCAGCGGCGTCGCCTTCCCTCTCTCCGACGAGTCAAGAGGAGTCATCGTTGGAAGTGATTATGTGCCTGTCAGCAACTTGACAGCGTACACCCCCTCATTACTATTATGGACACCTCTCGTGACTTCAAATGTGCAGGAGGTGGACATGAGCGACATCCTCAAGAGCGATTTTGTATTCCCTAAAAATTTTGTTGACACTACCGGCTGGACCCCAGTCGATGGCTCTCGATGTGAACGCGAACGTGGAGTATTCATGGATCGTGTACAGAGCTCGCACTTGTATTCCGAGCGATCTCTACAGCCAGCCTACCAGTCTGCTCTGTTTTGGTTATTCCAGCATGGTGTGGTGAAGCACAAACTTAGCAAGACGGCGCTAGCGTTTGACAGTAGTGTAAACTATGTGGATATTACGCTGTCAGTGCCTCAACTCTCGGCCATGCTCACGCTAGTGGGGTGTGCGTCGCTAGTCATCATGGCGGTGTTGATTTTCTTTGGAGGCAAAAGCCGTGAAGCTGACATCGAGAGGAACTTCAAACCACACCACTTGGCTCGAATACTGCTGGACGATGACGCATTTTCACACAGACTGCTCAAGTGTGATCTACTCAACGTCGGCAACAAGTATTTGAACAGCTCCGAGCTGCTGGATCAGTTCGAGATCAGCGGACTGGCGTTGCGGCATCGCAAACGTCCGTCTGATGTGCTAATTGTGCCTAACGGCCACCAATCAAGCACACAATCGGCAGCATCAAGCCAGGCAGCCAATATCGTGTAAGTAGCGTACAAAACCATTATAGACCAGTATTTACTATCCTCCATTTTTTTGTAAAGCCTCCTTGTATCACTGTGGAGACACCTGGAAAAATACACAATTGAGCTCATTCGTTTCGAACACAGAAATCAATGGTGGGCATCACCATTTCCGTTATATATTCATCGTGAAAAGTCGAGGTACTTTAAATTGCGGTATGCAATTTGGATGACCTATCTGTGCAGAATTGCTTATTTCAAAGGTTTTAGCAGGTCGCTCATACTACAAAGACAAGTGTATTATTCACAAAGGAGCAAAGAAAATGTTCCACGTCGCTCTTTTGATATCGAACATTTAGTTCTCCGAGCTATAAATGTTTTCTAAACTCATGGCTTCACCTCTGGGGGGCTTTAAGCTGTAGCGTTCAGGGTCACAAATGTATCGAAATGATGGATGCAAATAAAGTTGAAGTGACAATCATTCTGGCGTTCCGCACTCAAGTGCACCATGGAATTGGTGGGTAGCATCACGCGCTTTGCCTTGGCGACATATTTCATGAAGCGAGGCAGCAATGCTCGTCCTGTACACTCTAGAAACGAAGTACCTTGGCCATCTCCTTCCTATGAGCCGAGCTTTGCTTCCAGTGATGAAGAGGAGAGTCAAGACGCTGAGTCGGAATTCTCAGTCGTTGTGTCGACTCATGTGTCCAATCTAAGACAGTTGCGGGCGGATCAGCGTTTCCAGGACTGGTCGAGAGGGATTGCTGAACTTCGAGAGTATGTGGCAGTAAATGATCTCGTTGCGTCACTGGTGGCGGTGCTGGTGGAGATGGTCAAGAGACAGCCAGAAGACATTGAGTGCCTCGTTCGAGGTAATCGGCAGACAGAAGACTTTGACTGTGCCTGAACAATGGTTGATGACTTAGTTACTCTCGTTGTAGTGATCGAGGACATGTGTTTTGAGAAGAGCGGAGGGCCGTCAGAGGTGTTCGACAAGGTATGTGGTCGCCATTTAAGATATTTAAATAATGAGATGAAGCCTCACTCCAATGCTAGCTGGTCGAAGCGCTAAATTGTTACAGTGGGGACAGGGACACTGGAGTGGTTATCTGGCTGGAACGAATAGTAGACGTTGTCTTGAACGGGCTATGGAAATACCATGAGCAACAATTTGGGGCGGCAAGTTAGAATCCAATCTCAAAACGACGTGCGGTACACAGCTCAAGACACTTCTGTATTCCTTTTTCCCCTTCGGCGTTCTATCATCTACGTATGCGGTGAGGCTCTACAGATACGATTGCAACGTTCAAGCAGTCAGGTCTTGCACTCGGAGTCCTGGTTTCCTGTTCATTGTAGATATGACGTCGATCCCCGCTTCTCCTACATCCGTTGAAGCAAGTTCAGGGTGTACTATACACGCGTCGCCACCTAACTGTTCTTCATGGCATCCTCGACAAAGTTGAACGAGTCGTCTTTCTTCTTCATGAATCCGAATCCCGAGTCGGACGCCAGACCATCCGTCGGTTCCTGAATCGTCTTGGCAATGTAACCCGTGGGTGTCATCGCAGCTCCAATCACCTGAGAGCCTGAGTTTCCGCCCATGCCTTGCATCTGCTGCATCTGCATTTGCTGCATGTACTGCATTTGCTGCATTTGCTGCATGTACTGCATCTGTTGCATCTGCTGCATCTGCGCCATCTGCTGCGGTGTGCTGAAGTTCATCATGTTCATGTTCATGTTCACGGGACCACCATACCCCTGGTTCATCGCAGGCGCTGCTGGAACAGGTTCAAGAAGAGGGTCCAATACCATCGTCTTGTTCACTGACGGCGCAGAAGCTGGAGCTGCGGGGGTGGCAGGAACAGGAGCAGGTGCTTGAGACGGCTCAGGGATTGAGGCTGTGCTTGCTGTGCTACTCTGGAGCTGCAATCCGCCAAACATATCCGTCACATCGTTCGTCGACGGAGCAGGTTGTGAAACTTCCTGTACTGATTGCTGAGGAGCGTTTGTCTGCAGTCCCGAAAAGAGCGAGTCATTGTCATCAGTGGGAGGAGTGTCATCAAACCCTCCCAAGAGATCAGCCTCCGCAGCTGGCTGCTTCCTGTGACTAGTTGATTTGCTCTTCTTGGACGACTCACGGCTAGACGTGGAGGCTCCAAGGCCAGCAGAAATACCCAAGTGGTTCAAGACCTTTACGGCACGATCACGCACTGCAGCCTTGTCTGACTTCGTGCAAGACTCGACCTCGCTCGAGTTTTCACTGAAATATTCTTCAAACTCCTCACATCCGTCGGTCTTCAGCAGCGCGTCAATCGTCGCCAGCGCTTTCGATACAACTGTCCATTGGTCATCGGACAAACAATCTTCTAGAATCGGACCGACAATTTCGGCATCCAGAGTAATTGCGCTCTTCAAGAACGCGTCCATCTTGTCCTTAGGAGGGATAGCACGCATACCACCAGGAGCACACAGAGCTGTGACCAGGTTGCGCTCATACGATCCATCCGACTGTGCACCTGACGTCTGGCCTGTGAGTACGGGAGCCTGTGGGAACGGTCTCGGGGTCTGAGAAGGCTCGCGACGCTTGTTGTCATCGTAGTCGTAATCTGAATTGCGCGAGTACGAGCGAGAGTCACGTGTGCTGCCATTAAAGCTCTGCGTCCGGTTCTCGTGGCCGCTGTTTTGTGGCATTCCAGCCGGATTCCCAGCGGACGGCACATCAGCATCGCTCCATGCGCCTCCAACACGACCTTTCTTACGGTCGCCGTCTAAATTTCAAAGTGTTAAAACAAAATTTCAGATCAGCAATCAGAACTTCAAGTGAACAAGTACCAGAGCCACAGACATACCATAAGATTTCTCGCGTAGTTGCGAGCTAGCAGATTCCCGTGGGTCCTGTCCGTAGCCACCAGGTCGGTAACCTCCTCCAGTGAATCCAGTCGGGCGATAGGGTTCCTCCGGGTTATACGGCGCAGGACTCGGGCCGTAGTTTCCGCTGGTAGGTCCACGGTTCGTAGCAAAGCTCCAGCCATCGGGCGGGTTCGAGGATCCAGGCGGGCCACCACCAAAAGTGGGTTTCTCCGACTTGTTGTACTTGGACGCCACCTTCTCCTTGAGTCCCTTAAAGAATCCCTTCTCATCTGCACGTGGGTCCTGGTACATGGGGTTGCCAATGCCAGAGAACTTCTGGTCGTTAAACGGAGGTGGCGCACCTCCATATTGGTTCGGTGGGGCTCCTCCATACGGCGGGTTAGCACCGCCTGGGCCACCGTACGATCCTTGCTGAGAGAAATCAGGCTGTTGTTGGCCATAAGGCTGTGGACCTCCGTAAGGCTGTGGCCCACCATAACTTCCCTGATTAGGGTCTGTGGGGTATCCGTACGGAGCTCCAGGGGGAGCAGCTCCATTGTATCCACCCATCGGCGGGCCGGCCATCGGCGGAGGCGGCAGTGAGCTGTCGTTCGAGTTTTTACCGCCCCAGATTTTGGAGCTCCAGCCAGAGCCACCACCTCCGTTGTCATTAGGGTTTGCACCCACGCCTTGGATACGGGCCGACATGCCCATACCGCCTAGTCCCGGCGCATTGTCTGTGTCATAAATGGCGTCCAGCACCTCCTTGGCCGCTTCCCGAACGCGACGGTAGTACTCGTCGCCCTTGAGCGGGTCGGGAACGCCGCGGAACTCTGTAGCATTAAGAAGATAATCAGGTCAGTTCTAAGCGTTCCGAATTTAAGAGCTAAAATCGGGAGAGTACGTACGCAGACACTCCTTGATGGTGGGGATGTGCTTCTGCATTTCGCGCTTAAAGTCGACGCGGCCCTCGCGACACACGTGCTTGATGACCTGTAGCGCCTTGTATTTGATGTTGTGATGTTTGTTCTTGACGCGGGAGATGAGAAAATCTTGCACCTTGGTGCACGTGTCATAGCTGTGCTGCGTCATGCGCGCGATCTCTCCGTAGAGATAACCCGGCGTCGGTGTGTCATCTTTACTAGTGGCACGGGTCAGCAAAGCCTTATCCATCGTGTGTAGGTGGCGGGGTTCCTTCGACTTGAGGGGTGGCGGCGGGTCTACTGCTGAGTCTTGGTCGGCGCTGTCACTGTTCGCCTCTGCCTCAACGCGACGACGGCCGTACTATCAAATTGTATGCTCTCCCCCACGTGGCAGTCTCTACAGCTAAATTTGCAATTTCGGTGCTCTATCTTTCAGATTAGAAGTCAAGGAAGGTACGGAAATTTACAAACATGAGCTATTACTTTCCGTATTTACACTTTCAAAGATACATGTCTTGGAAATGCTCACTTAGCGTTGATATTTTGGTGATGGTCGCCGAGTTTAAGCTGGTAAGTTGTGGGGTAATCTCGATGGGGTGTGTTTATGAAAGAGGCGCTTTCTTACTTGGTAGCTGGCAGTGTCCAGTGTTGTGCAGGGCTCCGATTAAGTCAATAATTTCTTACGATATATTTATTTCGTCGACTTCACAAATGCAAATAAATTATTTATATGCTAGAGGACCGCATAATGCAAACCACGGCATTTTCGTTGGAAATAAACTCGCAAACGCTAAGTATCACGAGTTGCTGAAGCGCTCACCAGGGATCCCCAAAATAAAATAAAATCGCTCTGGCAAATCTACTAGAAAATACAGATTTCATTGATGCTTCTGTCACGTGTTGGTTTGGCTACTTGCTGTGTTTGTAGTAAACTGACAACTGAGTTAGTTAGATGTCGGAGAAGTCCTACGAGTAGTTGCTCCTAGCTCTCCTACAAGTGGTTGCTACCATTTCTCCTACAATCTACTTGAATGCCCGTACCTCAAGCATATGAATGCTGCACCTGTGGAAGTCCTGCTTCAACTTCCTCTGCCGATGCAGCTTGTATACATCCATGTACTCAATGGCTTCGCTCGCCATTGCATGCTGTTGGATAAGACAGCACGTCAGTGCTGTGCTTCATCACAGTCTCCTCCACGTTGATTCTTGCAGGGACGAACTCGACGTAGGTTGACCTTCTCGATGTATCGACCCTTGTCGAGTGTCAACGTTCCCGTATCTTGCACGGCTAGGACCTCGTAGGGGCCGTCGAAAAGCGGCAGTGTCTTCCCTTGGACACCAGCGTCGCGACGGAGTAAAACCTTGTCTCCTGGAGTATAGTCCAGTTCACTCTCTTGCTATTTTCACGTTCGTTGTTTCTCTTGATCTGGTCTGCTTTCCGGCGGTGCTCCTCGACCCAGTCTGTCTCATGCTTCATGTCAAAGAACATGTTGCGTCCGAAGGCCTGTTGAGCTGGCGACGTATTTGTCATGGAGTGGTATGCCGCACGCAGTGCAAAGGTCGTGTTATTCAGGAATTGCTCCCATTCATCTGCGGTTTTCAGCGTCTTGGTTCGCATTTTGTCGCCAATGACGCGATGTACGCGTTCAATCACCGCATTTGCCTGCGGGTTGCGCACAGTTTTAGGGGCATGTTCAATGCCGTAGCTATCGAGAAGCTCGAGAAATTCCTTCTTGAATTCACTTCCTCCATCGTAAATACACTTTACAGGACGGGGGTAACGATTCAGCCAGTGACGGTCAAGTAGGAAGGCAGCCTCGCTGCTGGTCCCGTCAAGTGCAGGTAGGATTTCTATCAGCCTCGTTTATTTGTCAATAATCGTAAGTGCCCTGAATTTCTGCTTGCCGTAGGGCCCGATAAAATCCACAGCGATTTCGTACCATGGCCAAGCAATCGCCTTCTTAACCGGTAATTTGCCGTATCGAACAGTGGGGTGTTTGGCCTTGCTGCAGGGCAGACAAGCTTCGACAAATTTCGTGACGTCTCTGTCCAGCTTTGCCCAAGTAAAGACTTGATTGATGGTTGCCTTCATGGTGCTGGCGCCGGGATGGATCAACCACTCGTGATATGTTGTTAGCAGCTTGTTGCGGAGGCTTTCAGGTACGAGCACCTTCTTCGAGTGTCGATCGACCCATAGCTGCACTCCACCAAGCTCACACTTGCAGTCGTTTTCCAGGTTGGAGTCATTCTCTTGCTCTTGCGCCACTGTGTGCATGTCGAAGCTGAACAGGTTGTCGTCGTCGGTATCCATTGCCGCGCATGTCTGCATAGTACCATCACTATCTCTCTCCTCCAGTTCGGTCGGGGGATCATCATTCATCGGCAGACGCGAGAGCGCATCGGCGACTACATTATTCTGACCAGGTACGTAGTGAAACGCCGGGCCGAACTCCATAACTTCTAGCCGCCAACGCATCATGTGTACGTCATGAAACGTAGCGTACGTCAAGTTCAAGTGATCCGTGAAAAGATGTAGTTCTTGGCCAAGAAGCAGGCTCCGAAATTCGCGCAACAGGAGAACGATGCTCAGTAACTCCAGTCGGTTTGCTGGGTAAAGCGTCTGAGCACCATTGCATTTCTTCGACCAGAATACCAGCGGTTTGTCGTGCTGCATAATGACGGCTCCGAGCTGTAGTTGTGAAGCGTCTGTGTAGACGTGAAAAGGTTTTCCAGACTCTGAAAATGCCAGCTTCACTGTGCCAGCGAGTGCCTCCTTCACTGCCTCGAATGCCGTTTGTAGCTCGGTCGTCCATCGAAAAGGTTTTGATGGCGATAGTAGCGCTGTTAGTGGGCTAAACAATGCGGCTCGCTTGGGGATCATGTCGCGATAGTAGCTCGCCATGTCAGTAAATCGTCGAAGGTCACGACGGTGGCGAGGCGGAGCAATTGCTGTGATAGCTCGCACCTTGTTCGGGATCGGCTCAATGCCAGCCTCACTTAGGCGGTAACCAAGGTAGTCCACCGCATCCGCACAAATCTGATTCTTCGGGTGCAAAGTCAACCCTGCGTCAATGAGACGCGTAAACACCATCTCCAAATGTTCCATGTGCTGCTCAAACGTTTCCGAGATCACGAGAATATCGTCCAAGTAAACGCGGACGTAGCTTAAATCTCCAAGCAACGCGTCCATCGAGGCTTGAAATTCGTCAGGTGCCGTCGAAACACCCATCGGTAGTCGATTGAAGACAAATTTTCCTATGCCCGCCACCACAATGGCAGTTGCATCACGATTTTGCCCAGCTAGCACCCTTGTGTAGTAGCTGAGTGGAACGTCAAAGGCCGAAACATACACTGGCCTTGGTACTGAGCGAATCATCTCAGAGACCGAACGCACCGGATAGAAACTTCGTCGTAAACGCTTGTTTAGCCGGCGAAAATCACACACCAATCTCACTGATCCGTCCTTCTTCGGGATCACAAACGCCGGCGAAGCCCACTCAGAAGAAGAATTCGGTGTCAGAACACCAAAAGCAACGAGTCGATCGATTCTTGTCTCGTCGCCTCAAAGTACGCCAGAGGAATCGGGAAGGGTTTGCCAGCGTACGGCTCAGCATCAGGCTTTAAAGGAATAATGTACGGCTCCTTACGAAATGTTCCCAATTTCCCAGAGAATAACGATGGGAACTTCCTGGTTAACAACACGATCGTTGTCATCTGATCTGCTGTCAGTCGCTACGTTGCTATCAGATCACTCGGAGGCCCTTCTTCGGGTTCATCAACTGCAATTTCTGCTCTGCACTCCATATCCGCAGCAAGAACTGCTGCTGCCCGCTTCTGGACGCTACGACCTGTAGCCATCTTAATCTCGATTCCATCCCACTTCAAAGTGCCATCTTCGAAGTCGATCACCATCTTTTGCTTCCACATGAAGTCCTTCCCTAGCATCACGGGATATAGCAGCGTCTCCGCTACCCGAAACGAATGTGTACACGTTCTCGTGTTTGAAAATGCCAACAGCTTCAGCGTCGACGTGGCACGGTGAGTTGTCTGGCCGATCGAGTTGTCCGCATTCCTGTACTTCGCTGTCTCGGGTTCGAGACAACGTCTCCTTGGAGTGCACTCAGGGTCTTCTGATCCAGCGCCGAGTTCGTACATCCCGTGTCGAGAAGAGCTGTCAGTCGTACAGAACCAATTTGTACCTCAATCTCCATACGCGGTTCACAATCTACCGGAGCTGTAGCCATTTCAACTCTGGAAGCCATCGTATCATGCAATGAATTGTCATAAAACTGAACTGCTGCATACTCGTCATCCTGTCGTTGTTTTAACGTCTTCATCATTGCAGCCATCTCTGCAATTTGACCTTGCATTGCTGTCATCGATGAGTTGTTGGTATTGTTGTACGCATTTCGATTGCCACCACCAAAGGTTTTGGTCTGGTGATTACGGTTGGGCTGGTACTGTGCACCACCGGAATTACGTGGGCGATATGCAGGAGATGCCGGGTCACGAAAGCACTCGTTGCCGTTATGATTGTTTCTCTTGCAGAAGCTACAGTACTTGTCGTTCCGTCCTTGGTTGTTGTTGCGAGGCCGCTGATTGTTGCGGCTCCTCTCGTTTTGACGCTGTCGAGGTTGCTGATCTATCTGGCGTTGACGTTGCCCTCGCAGGACTTCGCTGTCACGTTCGTTCCTCTCAATCAGCTCAAATTGCGCCTCCATACTGCGTAGATCCTAGCCTCGGAACACACGGTGCAGTTCGACTTGCCAGTCCACCGGCATGCCCAACTTGTACATCCTGACGATGTCTGCTTCCGGCACGGCTTCGTTTTCTCCGTGCTCTAAAAATGGAAACATTCGCAGCAGAGTTCTAAATTCTCGGCTGTACTCTCTCACATTTGTCCCCTTTTTCTTCCGCAGTTGCATGAGTTCGTCCATGAGGACACCACGCGTTCCTGGAGGACAGTGTATGGCCGTTAGCTGTCTAAGTGCCATGAGGGTGATGTTTGGTCGGAATTCTGCTTCCTCCCTGAAGACGTCGTTGAAGAATCGCAGGTTCTCGTCAAACAGTAAAACCTGGATATCTTCGGCCATTGCCCATTGATCGCCTTGATCTAGTGTGTAGACCATGAATGCTACTCTTGCAAGTTCAGCACCCAGGTTAGCCACGCTTTCCAGTCTCCGTCGCGGAAGCCAGGAACCTTTTTCTTCACCACTGTACCACTTGCCTTGGTCTTGGTAAATGTTATATCGTCCGTCATGCTGAGTTGTCGGTGACGGAGATTTGTTCTTCTTGTTGGTCGATGTAGCCACGCTTCGGTTTTTTGCTAGCAAAATGTCGCGTGTTGGTTTGGCTACTTGCTGTGTTTGTAGTAAATTGACAACTGAGTTAGTTAGATGTCGGAGAAGTCCTACGAGTAGTTGCTCCTAGCTCTCCTACAAGTGGTTGCTACCATTTCTCCTACAATCTACTTGAATGCCCGTACCTCAAGCATATGAATGCTGCACCTGTGAAAGTCCTGCTTCAACTTCCTCTGCCGATGCAGCTTGTATACATCCATGTACTCAATGGCTTCGCTCGCCATTGCATGCTGCTGGATAAGACAGCACGTCAGTGCTGTGCTTCATCACAGCTTCAGATTGAGGTAAATAAATAACTGGAATACTTGGAAACGTGCAGTAAATTATTACTACAATCGTGTTAGTTGACCTACACAGCCGTTGATAAAGAAGAATCCACAGTAGCTACGTTCCAGAAACTCGCGTTGATCTTCAGAAATAAGATCATTTCTAAGGTCAAAGGCGACATCCGGTGACGCTCGAGACGCAAGACCGCTCGAGCCACGTTGAAGAGCCTCTCCACGATGTTTGACGTCGGAGGGATGGCACTTAACAGCTTGTACCTGACAGGCTCCGCGGAAACCTTGTTGCGCTTTAGAATCTGCCGAGCAAAGCCATCCGCATCCGGTGGAGACGCTGGTGACGCGCTCGTTGCTGCCGCTTCGAGCTGACGGAATGGCTCCAATACCGTTATCTCCATTACCGTCAACTCAACCGTTTTCCCAGCCAATACCTTGACCACAGCTGCCTCAAAAGCCTGCGCGTGAATGATACAAAACATTTCAAATAAAAACACTTACCAAGGTACTTGCTCGTTGAAGGACGAATCTCCAACAGACCTTAAAAAAATCCCCGGCATCCAACAGAGTAAGTCCATCGGATTGTAGCATCTTGGAAGCAGACTCAACGCATCAAAGCTTGGACAAGAGCTCCTTTAGCTGGCGGTGTGTCGTCCGGGATGGCAACATGTCGGCCAGCTCGTCGTCGTCAGCTGAGAGGAACTCCCTCAGCCCAAAGTAGCGCTTCAGCATCGAGAATGTCGAGGCCCAGCGCGTGTCCTGACGCATAATTGGTACCAGCGGCGTTTTGAGTCTGTACCAAAAAAAATCACAGACCAAAAAATAGTATTCCACAATTACATTAACAAAAATGAATTGGATACAAAAATACAGATCACGGTGCCTCAGCTTTGCGGCTTGCTTGAGGGTACGCAGCTGGCGCATTAACTGCTGAACCTCCTCTAGTGCGGGTTCGTGCGGAGCCATGTAATCTCGAACCGCGAGGTTAAGTCGGTGGCTGGCGCATCCGACTAGCGGGACGCCCGTGATGTTGGCAAGGCGCTTGGTAACCGAGCAGTTGTCCCCAACGAAGGAGCTTACACCCCTCAATAGATTTTTATAAAAAAAAAGGGTAAAAAACGCTCAATAGCAAGCAAATGCCTATCCGCGGACAGCTGATCGTCCGGCTCCTCCATTATTGGAGCCATTGATAAAAGGGGGTAGCATGGCCCGTCGGGTTTATCGTAGCAAGCGTAGACAGCCAGGAAGTGCTCCGTTCCGTGGCTCCAGCCATCGAGCATAAGCCCAAACCCATCGGGCATCTCCTCACCAATAGACCGCTCTACAGCTTTGGTGAGGTCTTCCATGTTAGACACCAAAGTTCCAACAGAGACGGGCGCCAAGTTCGTATTCCTGTTCAAACGCACGTATACGAAATTAGTTCAAATCATAAATAGCCCGATAGAATTTGTGTACTTAATTGCGCGTCCAACTCGACTCGCAGAAGTTGAGCGGCAGATTGCCCTCGACAACCCACTTCAACCACGCGTAACGGCTCGATGCCTTCTGGCTCACCCAAGGAACAAGTGTTCCAGTCGCAGCAGCGCTCGCGTCACGCATCTCGCTCTCAAACCTTGGGTGCGACGCGCGAACGTGCGTCACTAGGTTAGTGTAGCCGCTCCGAGGAGCGTGTGTACACCGTTTGCCACAGGCCTTGCAGGCATGGTAGCCTGTAATGTCGCCTTCTTCGTCCAGCGCGGGCTTGAAGAAGAAGGCGGCAATTTGCCTTGGTGAGAAAGGCTGGGGTTTCTGAGTCGTATCGACGAGATTGCCGAGCATGGCAGGTATTGCGGCGTGTCGGCAGGATGGCGGAGAAGTGGCAAATTTAGAAATGCAAACAAGGTGCTGCGGTCAGTGACTCTCTGGGAGTACTTGGAAGATGACTGCCAACGCTTTTGGGTGGTGTAGGCAGCTTGAAGATTACTTTTTCAGAATTGGTGAGATCAATTATTTGTGACTGACCAAACATGTGCAAAATAAGTAATTGCTTCAAACAATACAAAATTATTTTTCCGAGTATTTAATTTTGGGCATCCTGGCGCTCACTCTTCAATTCGGAAAAAAATACTGCACGGAAACGGTGTGTTTTCGACGTGCTGTGCCTTTTAAAAAATGATGTTGGGCCGCTCTACAATTTGCAGAACGGAGCGGTGGCGCTTGCCACAAGTGAACACTGTTCCGACAGTGCACGCTACTAAAGTAGGAGATTGGCTTATTTGCTAATATCAACAGCTTCGTCGAGCGATATCGGCAGCTGGCTCGGCAAGTCAAAGGCTTTTCCTGATACTTCAATATTATCTGGTATTCAGGTATAGCTACTAGTGTCGGTGTTTTTGAACAACGCTGAAGCGCTCGCTCAATATCGAAACATTCTGGTCATTCTTTACCATGGAAAATGTGCACTCAGCGACTGTATAAACAGCTTCTACATGTAGTAGAAGTAGAAGTTTTACACGAACATAACGGAGACGAAGCATCACATGAAGTAGATTCGATTTAGATTCGATGCACACCTTTCAACCGGTATAGCACCGCGGCAAAATGCAGAGGATCTACGTGTGCTTCCACGTGAGACGTATGTCAGCCCTTCCGCCATCTTCAGGACACCACTTACGAATTCTCCAGCTGCAGTGCACGACGAACTCTTACCTATGACAGCTACGACTGCTTCAACTGAAGTGGCAGTGGTGGCCATCACCGCAACCGAGCGCAAAGATCCCCACGATGAATTCGGGATTCTGGAGCTGTACGAGAACTTGACACTCACGCAGAAGATTGTTATCGGCCTGTTGTGCGCTATCGTGGCCCTCGAAGAACTCTACTTATTCACGCTCGCCATCAAGTACATCGCGGAATGGTTCATCCTGCTTCTAGTCGTGACTCGACGAACAAACCGACTCCGATTTCAAATTTAAAATACTACTGTAGTCTACCCCACTCAAAAGGTAGTACTAGTAGTATATATTGAAGGCCTGCAAGTGTTCTGAGTGACGATAACGTGAAGAAGAATGGCATGAGTAGTGAGTAAAGTATCTAAATCATACTAGGTAGTACGTCGACTTATCGTGATTAGCTCTTTTGTTCAAAACTACCCCACAGCCTCTGCAAGCAGCAGCAACACGAGAGGGTTTCCGCACTTCAGCACATCAAGTAATACAGCCACCTCCCGCACGGCATTTATCGTTGAACGAGCGACATCTATTGAACACCGGTCGTCAGACCACACAAGCAAAACACTCAGTGAAGCCGTGAAGGAAGAGCAGTCTGCAAAGTCGAAAGCACCAGATGTACGCAAAGCCAATGCAGCTCATTGCAGCCAGCTTGCTGGTTACGTCGAGGAATTTACCAGCAGTGTCTTGATTTACTCGTAGTCAGAGAGAGGCGGGCAACTGCACACGAGGTAACGGTCACCATGCACGTTGTCAACGCGACCCACAGCCGGCCAGTACGTCTTGTTCTTGCCTCCCTGGTGCCACGGGGCAGGGAACGCAGCCTGTTCGCGCGAGTACTTGCGGTCCCAAACACCGGCCGTGACCTGGTCCACGGTGTGCGGCGCGTGCTTGAGTGGGGAGTCATCCACCGCGATGGCTCCAGTAGCGACATCTTCAATCTCGCGACGAATAATGGCCAAAGCATCGCAGAAGCGGTCCATTTCGGCCTTGCTCTCACTTTCCGTGGGCTCAATCATGAGCGTACCGGGCACGGGCCATGACATGGTAGGGCTGTGGAAGCCAAAGTCCTGCAGACGCTTGGCCACGTCCTCCTCCACAATGCCAATCTCCTTGAACGGGCGCATGTCGATGATGAACTCGTGCGCGCACGTACCGTTGGCACTGCGGAAGACAACCTCGTAGTGGTTCTCTAGCTTCTTGGCCATGTAGTTGGCGTTCAGAATGGCCGTGGACGTGGCCTGCTTGAGGCCGTCCTCGCCCAGCATGTTAATGTACATCCACGGGATCGGCAGAATACCGGCGCTACCAAACGGCGAGCCGCTGACAGCCGAGTCCGTCTTCTTGACGGTGTGCTCGCCTTCACCGCCCGTAGGCATCACTGCGTGGCCCGGCAAGAACGGGGCCAAATGGGCTGCTACGCCAATAGATCCCACACCGGGACCACCGCCGCCGTGAGGGATGCAAAAGGTCTTGTGCAGGTTCAAGTGGCACACGTCAGCGCCAATGCCTCCAGGGTTGCACAAAGCAACCTGAGCGTTCATGTTAGCTCCGTCCATGTAGACCTGCGCTCCGTGCGAGTGGATGAGGTCCATCATCTCCTTGATACCTGGCTCGAACTTACCGAAAGTCGACGGGTACGTGATCATAAAGGCACTGAGGTTGTCCGCGTGCTCGGCCGCCTTGGCCGCCAGGTCCTCGCGGTCAACATGGCCGTTCTCGTCCGACTTCACAACGACGACCTTCATACCGGCCATGACAGCACTGGCCGGGTTGGTACCGTGCGCAGACACCGGGATCAGGCATACGTTACGGTGGCCCTGGCCACTGGAGCGCTGGTAGTTGCGGATAGTGAGAAGACCAGCGTACTCGCCCTGGGCGCCACTCTGCGGCTGCGTGGACACAGCGCTGAAGCCCGTGATGACGGCCAGAGAATGGTTCAGCGACTCAATGAGCTCACGGTAACCAGCGCTTTGGTCCTCAGGCACGAACGGGTGCACGTTGGTGAATTCGGGCCAAGAAATCGGAGCCAACTCAGACACGGCGTTCAGCTTCATCGTGCAACTTCCCAGTGAGATCATGGAGCGGTTGAGGGCTAGATCCTTGTCTTCCAGCTGCTTCAGGTAGCGAGTGAGCTCCGTCTCCGAGCGGTACTTGTGGAAAATCTCGTGGTCCATGTAAGTTGAGGTACGACGCAAGCCCTCAGGAATGCTCTTGTTCTGGATTTCTTCTGCACGAGCGCCAAGGGTCTCGGCCAAGTCCTTAGGAAGACCGTTTTCCTCGGCTCCAAACGCCAACAGCAGCTTCTCTACGTCCTTCAGGTCGACGCTTTCACCCATAGATACACCCACGCGCTTGTCGTCAATGATGCGGACGTTCACACCACGCTTCGTCGCCTCAGCGGACACCTCGGTGGCCAACTTGCCCGACTGCGACACATCAACTTCCAGAGTGTCGAAGAAAGCGTCGTTAACCAGCTTGCACTTTGGCGCGAACTTCTCCAAACCAGCAGCCAGCGTGGCAGCGTACAAGTTAGCACGCTTAGCAATAAGGTGTAGACCCTCAGGACCGTGGTAGATAGCGTACGCGGCGGCCATGTTGGCCAGCAAGGCCTGGGCCGTGCAAATGTTGCTAGTAGCCTTGTCACGACGAATGTGCTGCTCACGAGTCTGCATGGCCATACGCACGGCCGGCTCTCCACGCGAGTCCACAGATACACCAATAATACGGCCGGGCATTTTGCGGTGGTACTTTTTGGTCGTGGCCAGGAACGCAGCGTGCGGGCCACCGAACATCATGGGCACACCGAAGCGCTGGGCCGATCCCAGAGCGATATCGGCGCCCCATTCGCCGGGTGGAGTGAGCTGCGTAAGACTGAGTGGGTCCGTTGCGACGGCCACCACCAGCTTGGACTTGTGAGCCTCGTCCACGAAGTCACGGTAGTCGTTGACAGCACCGAACGTGGTCGGGTACTGTAGCAGCACACCGCTGTATCCCAGATCCTTAAGGTCGAGATCGGTCTTGGGGTTGCCCACCACGAGCTCAATGCCGAAGTTCTCGGCTCGCGTCTGCATCATGCCGATAGTTTGCGGGTGGGCCTCCTGGTCCACGAAGAACTTGGCTCGCTTGCCATTAAAGTTGCCGTGGGCCAAAGCCATGGCCTCGGCGGCAGCTGTGGCTTCGTCCAGCAGCGAAGCGTTGGCATATTCGAAACCGGTCAGATCCAGGATCATGGTTTGGAAGTTGAGCAGCATCTCTAGACGGCCCTGGGACACCTCGGCCTGGTATGGTGTGTAGCTTGTGTACCATCCAGGGTTCTCCAGGATGTGACGCACGATCGGCGCGGGCGTGTGAGTGTCGTTGAAGCCCATACCGATGAAGGATTTAAGCGTCTGGTTCTTAGCCGCCAGCTCCTTAAGTTTGGCCAACGCCTCGCTCTCGCTAAGCGGTGGCGGAAGATCCAGTGGCTTGTCCAGGCGGATCTCGGCCGGCACCGCGGCAGCTACAAGGTCCTCGACACTGTCGAAGCCCACGGTGGCCAGCATGGACTTACGGTCCTTCTCGGACGAAACGCCCAGGTGGCGGTGCAGGAAAGCGTCGGCTGGTGCATAAGAGCTCGTGGCCATGGCGCGCGCGGCGACGGCCCGGGCCAGCGTCACACGACGCACCGACAAGACGCGCTGGAGCAGCATTCCACTTGAGAGAGACGTTCGAATCACGGCGCAAATACGCGAGTGAGTGTTGCAGCCAGCCAACGGCGCAGGATCTTTATTGACGCAGTTCAGTTGACGTCCTATCCTATAAAAGAGCATCACGGGCATCCAATCGTCGCGATCATGAGCACCTTCACTTCGGGATATGACTGGCTGAAATTAGGTGGCGCGTAGGGTTACCGCAAGAACAAGTGCATCAACTCGACCGCCCGCTTCATCGACGTTCCCGGTCGTTCTTGTCTGTACCGGTACAACAGCGATCAGTTATGTTTGCCAGCGACCGACCAACTGCCACATCCGCTCGGTTCAACCAATGTTGCACAGTTAATACGGTCTACAAGGGCGCAAAGATCAACGAAGGGTTGGCCTGATAGAGTAGTTCCTTCACAGCCACGTAGTCAAAGCTGCCGGACTGCAGGTTGGACACCACACGCGCAACACTTTTCGTGAACTTCGGCACACGCTCCATGTCGCGCTTGCGTCCGTCGCGCCGGATCTTGCCCTCCCAGCCATTTGAACCGCAGAGTGTTAGCCACCTAGTCTCCAACAGAATCAGAGGCTGGTAGCGTTTGCCTCCAGCAACGGGGTCATCGATAGATGTGAGGAATGCAGACAGTTTCTCGTAGCTCTTTTGCGGCTGCAAAACGTTTGACAAACATACAAATACGTGAATATTAGCTGTACGACCTGTATAATTTTGCAGCAGCACCTACCCGAAACCAGAAGACCATACCAGCTTCTTCCTTGAGCGTCAACATTTCAAGAAAATCTTGGTCAAAGCACATGTATCGGTAGTCGAAGTGCTGCTTCTGTAGAGTGTTGTGTTTATCGAAAACCCTGGCAGCATTGTCGAATGCAACGTGAGCTGAGTTGTCGAAAAGAGTTGGTAAGGCAGCGTACTGTACCATTTCCGCTCGGTGTCGAAGATGAACAGTGCAGGTTCCAAAACGTCACGAGGAACAAGTTGAAATGTTCTCTCCAGCTCCGCAATGGAGAGAAACACAGTGCGATTCGCACAAGGAGTAATTGGCCACTTAGCAAGTGACAATGGACGCTCGATCGGATGCTCGCTCGGTGTCAGATAATTTCGGGGTTTCACGCGCTGTTTGTGTAATTGTGCAAGCTCCTTCGTGATCGACTGCACTTGCTCGATTTCTTCTTTTCTGGTGGCTTGCTGTAGTCGACGCATACGACTTTCTTCCATTACCAAAGTCTGCAAGCGTTGCATCTGGATTTACCATATAGTAGTATTAGCCCCAACTGCTTGTAGAAAAGTCTTCAATTACTCACCAATTGTTCCGGTTGTGAGTTGGTCTCATACGCGTTGCGTGCTTTGAGCTCAACGCGTAGCTCGCTGGTCGACATGGCCCATGGATCACAAATCTTCCCCAGCGACGCGAAACGTAGATAAATGGTGTCGTTATTGAGGATATCTAAGACGAATCATACACGTTTAAGCTATTTTTTTAGCCAGATTTCACGAATATCCGACTTACAGTAGCCATCCAGCGTTCCATCCAGACGAAGTATTCGGCCTTTGAACGTGTAGTAGTGCTCTTTGAGAGGGAGTTTAGCAAACGGACTTTTGGAAATAGTCCATTGACTCAAAATGAAGCGCTGTAAGTCCTCCATCTTGGCGGAGGGAAGCACAATTGCAGGGAATTTTTCTTGCTTGAACACTGACGAGATCACATTTGCGGGAGCCCCACTGTTGGGCTCGTCGTTGCTGCTGTTTTCGTCCGGTATAACTTGGCAGGTGGCAACGAACACTTTGAGCTTTTCCGGCGACTTTGTCATTATCTGCGTCTTTGTTAGGGATTGCTTCCCCAAAAGCCATCGCCATAATTGAAGCGACGCCTAAAAGTTATTAACGGATTTCAGACGATAAACTCCTTTGATGGACGAGAAGATCCTCAATTGCCCTAACAAAAATTCCGTGAGCAGATACGGTGTAGCTATTTATTTGATCTGATGGGATGTATTGTTGTTTCTTCTAACTGATCCAGATGGCACGGATGGCGACGGACACCACGAGTGCGAAGATGAAGACAAACACGTCGTCCAGCGACTTTCGGGCCTTCACGAGAAACTCTACTCAATAAAACAACAAAGTAAGTTGTTAGAACTTCCGTTTCCTCAAGGTCATAACACAGCCCACCCAAGCTCACCTTTCAGTACTGGCCGACTCGACAGCGCCATATTCGCTAAGAACCCCAAATCCCCTTCCTGCGGATTCTTCACGTCCGGTAGATCCAGCGCCTTATGCAACGCTTTCGCCCCCGTCGACACCAGCAGTCTCACTAGCAGCACACACAATACAATAGGTGGGTGTGCCACCAATGAGCTTAAGAAGAATCCGAGATCTGCCACATCCGGTAGCCACCCGGAATTGCCAGTCCCCGTCTCCCCCATTGCCTCCATCTTCAGCTGCTGCGTCAGTAAATGCTCGAGCTTGTTTCTCACTTCAGGTCCGACCTGTTCGCGCTCGAACTGCTGCCGGATGGACTCCATGGGGACACCTTTGGTGATCAGGTCTTGATAACTCACGAACAACTGGTCGTCAGCAGCCAAGCTGGCCGCAATGGATCGCAGGTCCATGCACACTGCAGCATAGACCGCCCCCGCCACAACTAGCAGCAGAACCAGCTTCTCCTCGAGCGAATGGAGTTTCAAAGCTGTTGAGTGGCGGCTATATGTCGGCTCAGGAGCAGTTGAGGGCGCTGTTAGACTCTCAGGCAGCTTCTGCGGTTTCTTCTGGTCTGTGGGTGTATCCTGCTGCTCCACCTCGCTAGGAGACGTCTCCTTGCCTAATATATCCTGCACCATCTGCTCCTTGCTACGGCGTCTCGCGGCTGCGTCTCGGCGTCGCTGCGCGGGGTCCACACGAGGCGGAATTTTGAGCTCCGTCGGTGGCTCGGCGGGCTTCGCGTCGGACGCCACTAGCTCTTCGACTTCATCGTCCATCTGCTGCTCCAGCGACTCGTTGGTATCACTTGGTGTCTTAAGTGACGAGATCTGTCCCTTCAGTAATTTTAAGCGGCTCTCGCTGCCCTGCAGCACGCGGGCTCGGCGGGCAGCACGCTGCTCCGCTGCCGTGAGTATGCGTTTGGTCTCCATATCTGCTCACAATCGATAAAAGTAAATGCCATAAAATATCGGCTTCTTTGTGGCAAAAATACTTTTTTTTAAACCGGTAATTGGGCATTGCATCCTGAAACACCCAAAATCTGATCTTGCTAGAATGCCCCGACTTTACAATTTCGCCTTTTATGTGCAGCTTCCAAACCAGCAACTTGCCTGATTTCAGATCCAGCCTGAAAAAGGAGCGATCGCTACCTGTAAACCACTTTGACAGTTAAGCTGTGACGTGGAAATACAAGATCAACACCTCGGACAACGCCCGAACAACGCCATGGAATAAAACATCAGCGGCATCGTTGATATCTAGGTAAATTTAGGCACATCATCTTGATTGTAGGCCATTAATAAGTTTTTATAAAGGAAGTGATTACAGTCACCAGCGAAATTACCAGCAAAACCAAAGAAATAGTTTTATCCCTCGGAATAAATTACGATAAACTACGAGAACCGGTCCCGGTGAAATTTACCATAGTTGATTTTTTTTAAGAAATCAGCCATAGGCTGTGGGCAGATCCCCCTCCTCCAAGCCTTTCCTTTGCGCCCCCGGACTGCGTGCACGATGAGCGAGGCGTCTAGCCACCGCGAGGGCTCTAAGCATGCTTCAAGAACTAGTCTTCGCGGTCGAGGGCTCCTGTACACGGTACAGACTCGTCCGACAGCCATCAGGGAAACGCGCGCACGACGGCACCCCGTTTCGAGGCATGGCACGATTCATGGAAATCGTTTTCTGCTTGCTTGACGTATCAGGTGCAGACGTCACAGCTGTACCGGATTCACACGACGGTGAAAGCAACGACTTGATACCAAGTCATAAAATCTAAGAAGAAGTAGAGATAATCGGAGCTGATTCCTGAAACGTTTGGAGACTACTGCAAGAAGTTGTTATGTACGCACGGCGGGAGCAAGAGTACAAGGGGGCAAGGACGAAGGACTGGTCATCTTGAGCGCAGTTGCGGCTGCGAAGTGGTGATGTGCGCGACCGTCATGAATTGCGCCGACACCGGCACGTTTCGAATCTGCGCTACGAGGCACAAGCGGACACACAATCACAAACTGGACAGAAAAGTACGAGCATGATCCTTCCAGCAGGAGAATTACCGACCCTGACGTTCTCGACGTCGTGGACGAGCTTATCAAGGTTGGCGGCAAGCCGAAGAAAATCCCAAAGTATCTGCAGGAAACTACTGGTAAGTGTTCCGAGCGTTCTTATTCAAATATCATGCGTTTTGATCGTATTTGAATGTCTGTACGTAAGCGTGTCATATTTCGAGACGTTTATAACATGGTGCAACGACTAAAATTACGACGTCGCGGGTCCGGGACAGCTGAGGACCGATTAGAAGCTGTCCTGCGCAAGTTTTGCTCTTCGCGTGACAGCACTGCCACCGTTTTCACTGACGACATCAGCACGACTAACACCATCACCCTACAAACGCGGCAAATGAGACGTTTTTTAGGCCTTCCCCGAAGTGATCATGCTGGATTCCACGCACGGGACAAATTCATCTAACTGTAAGTACACGCTCTTCAGTTTCATGATTGGCGATGGCTTCGGTCACGTAAGTACTGAAACTTTGGTGGTTGGTGATCACTTATTGATTCATCGGTGATCTATCGTTGATTGATGACCAATTGGTGCTCCGTTGGTGCATGTTCAAGCTGTTGGGTATAGTTACTAACCGCTTTGATTTGCATGTTAGGGTCAATACGTGCAACACGCACTGCTCGAGAATGAAAATTATTTCTGTATGCTAGATGCTATTGGCGCGTTTAAGGAGAATATCCCTTCGTGGGACAGGATCCGGGCAATTATGATTGATAAAGATTTTAAGAATGAGTTCCCTCTCGCTCGGGTCCTCATTTGTCACTTCCATCCTAAGAAGTACTTAAGGACAAAGATGTCGAAGGTAGTGTATGGTGGCCGCGATGGCGCTGATGTGGATCGAGTCGAAGACGCGGTGGACATGATGGTAAAGGCTCAAGACGAAAAGGAGTACGACCGAGGTTTGCGCTACATGTACTATCTACTAGATGGCTTCGACGAGAAAGACGAGCTACCTGAACCATAGCACCCTCTGCTCCTGTATTACATGAGCAATTAGGACTCATGCAAGAATATGTGGGCTGTATATGAGCGCGGTCATGTCCCGCGTCTTGGCAACCACACAAACAATCGGTACGCTCTTGCTTCATACATGTATGATACGATGATTAAAACTAATACTAACGATTTGCTATTTGTAGATTAGAATCGGCGTGGGGAGGTCTAATTTGTTTTATTAAACCAGAAATGGAGCTGGACGAGTGTGTTAAAACACTGAGTTTCTTGCAATCGACAGCTGAACTAGAGTACACCTCTCACTTTCACGTCATTGGGTCACGTCATTACCATGAAGCAGACGATATTTTGCTCCGACTTGCAGCATTAGTGAGTCCGTTTGCATTCGACCTCGTTCGAAAGGAGTACGAACTTTTTCAAGGGCGGAAGTCTGGCATATGAAGGAGGTCGGCTTCAAGAAGGGATGGTGCGGTTGATCTCAAGTACTACTCAAAGGGAGTATACTGTGAACTCATCGGTATGAGTGATATTGCTGTCATTTGTAGTCTAGTATCATTACTGAGTGCTGACATTAACATCATTTGGATGCGTTGAGATCTACACTTGTTCTTGCGTCTTCAGGCGCACAATGCTTCTCCCGTGTCGCCACACGATATTCGCTCGATCCAACATGAAGAAGAAGATGCTGATCCCTATCAATTACGTTTATTTTCGTTGGCTGTTGCAGTCTGAAGCCAGTCGACCCCGAAGAAGATGAATCTGAGGGAGACGTCTCCTGCTGCATGTTCCGAGCTCAGTTTTGAACATGAGATCCTTAAAACACGCAGTACTAAATGGCTCTACGAAGTGGCGAGCTGGTATGGATATTACTGAACGTGTGGTGGAAGCAATGAGCTCACAAGGCGCACGATCGTTCCTAGGAATGGCGTGGTCGTTGCGCAGATTTGCAGAGTATGCAAGTCAAGGTATCATACATGCAGTCGGGATACCCGAACGTACCGAAACACAATCTAGTGGTGAAAATGAGACTACCACCAGTGAAAGCAATGCTGCTGCAGGTCATGATGACACTTCTAGTAGCGATTCCGATGTGCCTCCTACACTCCTGACAAAGGCGAAGATCATGAATAAGGTAATTCAACAACCAGATGAGAGCGACGAAGATGAAGATGAAAGTAGCGACGCGGGGTCGGACGATAGCTCATCTGAGTGGAGTTACGATGCAAACGGAGACGACCTTGGCCATGATACTTCCATTCTCAATTTGGGCGGGAAACACGAAGGAGGTGGTCACATATCAGTGCAAAACAAACGCGAAGATCTAGTGAATTATTTGCTGAGCGATGATGCACGGTTGATAGCTGAAACGGATCGAATTGTACGCCTTAATCGTGAAATGGTGTCTTCAGATAGTGATAAAGAGGCAACATCGAAACTGCCGACATCCACGAAGAAGTCAACTAAAAAACCTACTGCGACACTCAACCACGCCGTTCACGCAGCGGAAGAGGGAGTCGTGAATATGACAACGCTGAACATGGAGGAACAAGTAGAAAGCGTCGAAGAAATGGGCCCCAAGCAGTAAGTGACGACAACCAAACCATTGGTAGCGACAACCAAACCGTTGGTGACACCTACCAAACCATCTGTAGCGACTAGCAATTCGGAAACGTGGTTGCCAACAGGACGACCAAGATGGTGATGAGAGTTTGTCATCTGACGAGGGAAAACGACGCTTTGAAATCGTGAAGAGTACAAGAGGCAAATGCAGACCAAAGATTCGGAAGAAACAACAAAGAGAATCAAATGAATTCGCATGGAGGAGTCTGTAGAACGAGCCAAGGCCTTGATTCAAGGAACGCTTGTCCCCCTGAAGGATTTAGCTCTAATGCGCAAGACACTCAAATACAGCTTCAATGTCGCTGATGCGCTTCCAGTGATGAACTGCATTAAAACAGCTGATGCTCCAAGGTGGAAGTCGACTACGATTGTGCAAATAGCCAGGACAAGGAAGGTAAATCGACAGGTCACGATTGTATTCCCGAAACGTTACTTAGCGAAGTGTCTTGCTGGCATCAAGACGTACCGAAAATCACTCCCTGACAATGAAAGTAGCTATTACAAAGCTAGGTACGTATGCTGAAAAGGATCTCGTCATGATGATGCAATGGCGAGACGAAACACCAAAGCTCGAGACGATTAGTGATCTTGCGGCTTGGGTGAGACTGTCAAAATTCTCACGGATATCAATGCCTTCTCCGCTAAACAACTGCATCAACGCTGACACTAAAGCTTGTGCAAAGCGCCTGGAGTCGGTGAATTTAAGAGACGTCATGTCTACTCGATTTGGCAAGATTCCTGTGTACGATATTGCTTCATTAAGACGTGCAGTGTGGCTAGATGACTCCTGTATGATGTTGGCGATGCACTACTTGATCGAACAAAACAATATCGGCGGCGTGAATCCACTGTACGCGAGAATGTTCGATGACGACATAAAGCGCGACGTGATCGATGTCACTTCACCGTTTCAAACAGGAAACAAAATTGTACTGCTACCTGTGTACTTAGACAAGCACTGATCAGGCGTCGTGTTTGATTTTGACAGGAACAAGCTGGTATTCTTCGACCCCATGCAAACGCGATCAAGCTATGGAGCCATGAAAGCAATCGTAAGCGAGTATTTCGGCGAGCATATATCGGGACTCGAAACAATACGGCAACGAGCCCCAAGGCAAGAAGATATACGCAGCTGTGGACCACTTACACTGCTACTTTTCGAGGCCACAACCCTTGGTATTCCGGTCCCAAACGTGTTGCAGGAATCTGTTGCGTACCTACGCTTTCGATTCATGTTTCTCGCTAGCAAAGGAGCATTTTGTCGCACTTCAGAGAATGCATCCGAAGACTCGTCTTT